TATGCTGTGCTTTCTTCTTTATATGCTGTGCTTTCTTCTTTATATGCTGTGCTTTCTTCTTTATATGCTGTGCTTTTTTCTTTATATGCTGTGCTTTCGTCTTTATATGCTGTGCTTTCTTCTTTATATGCTGTGCTTTCTTATTTATATGCTGTGCTTTTTTCTTTATATGCTGTGCATTCGTCTTTATATGCTGTGCTTTCTTCTTTATACGCAAAACTTTCTTATTTATATGCTGTGCTTTTTTCTTTATATGCTGTGCATTCGTCTTTATATGCTGTGCTTTTTTCTTTATACTCAAAATCTTTATCTTGAATGTCCTTATGTGGTACCCAATGTTCCTAATTTTTTCTCGCGGACAGTGCTTCTAACATGAAGTTTTACTCAAGGTAATAAAAGATCGCAGGCACCTAATACATTAAATGGCGGGAAAAATTGCTGTAAGCCTGTAATCTTTGCATCAAACATGGCGTCACTCTCAACTATGTCAAGTGTTTTGGAAAAGTTTAATCTCGGCTGTCATATTGAAAAATTTAGAGAAAAAATCACTCCTGATATAGTTCGCCACCTTTCATTGTATGAATTCAATAAGTTGGGAATTAACAACGTCAGCGATGTGATGGCTTTGCGAATTGAGTGTACCAAATATGGAATTGGAAAACCAACAAGCCAGCGAGATGAATTTGGTAATTTGAAATATGAAATCCCAAAGGAAGTGCTTCAAAGTTACCTTGAAGAAGATTTTAAAATTTCAGAAATCGCGACAATGTTTTCTGTATCGCAAAGTACGATATATCGTAGAATGAGATTTCACGGTTTAAGTAAATTAGGCTTTTCTGATATTTCTGACGAACGGTTAGACACCTATGTGAGAAGTATTGCAAAAGATTTTCCATTATGCGGGGAGGTAATGATTAAGCAGCTTCTCAGGGGAAAGGGTATAAAAGTTCAAAGAATGCGATTACGCGATTCTATTCATCGAGTAGATGAATGTGGAGTTCAAGCAAGAAAAAAAGGAAGATTGCATCGTAGAGTATATAACGTCAAAGGCCCAAATCAATTATGGCATGTGGATACCAATCACAAATTGGTGCGTTGGAATTTTATAATTGTTGGTGGCATAGATGGATTTAGTCGTCTGCCCGTCATGTTGAGCTGCACAAATAACAACAAGGCTGAGACTCTCCTGTCGTGTTTTGTTAATTCTGTTTCCGTCCGAGTATGGTCTACCCAACAGAGTAAGAACAGATAAAGGTCTAGAAAATGTTGCTATAGCAGATTACATGATAGAAAAGAGGGGTAGTAATGGTGGTAGCATAATCACTGGGCGAAGTACGCACAACCAGCGCATTGAAAGGCTGTGGCGGGATGTATTTCAAGGAGTATTGAGCTATTATTACCATTTATTCTACTTTCTTGAGGACCAGAATTTTCTTGATCCAATTAATGATAAGCACATTGCTGCACTGCATTATGTGTACATGAATGAAATTAATAGCAAGCTAAAATTGTGGCAAAGAGCATGGAGCAATCACCGTATGCGTACTGTACGCTCCAGTCCATTGAGATTGTGGATTGCAGGTCAAGTCCAAAATCCTGTTGGATTTCAGCTTTCAGTTGATGAATTGCAGTTTTATGGAGTAGAAGGTCTTGAAGACATTGGTGGTGAGCAAGAGGAACCAGGCCGACCAATTTTTTCACCTCCAATCCTTGAACTTACTGACGACTGCATAACAAACCTCAACTCTATTACATCCAGTCAAAGTGACTACAATGTAGGTAAATACATGATGGCTCTTGAAGTAATTGAACGACACACAATTGGAAATTAAAGTCTTTTAGTAACATTTATTTAACTATTTCTAATTTTAAACATGTGTCCACAGTAAAAAAATGCTAGCAGAAAGTGTTTTAATTAGATTAATCATGCATACCCAATACCAATGGTTGGATTCCAAAAGATAGCACTTGGAATGGATCCATTACAATTTACTCAACACACTGTTGATTAAAGTCAAGTGGATCCAATCTTGCATTCTACTATTTTATCAACATCTCCATTGGAGGACTCTGCACAACTAGACTTTCATGTGTCTATTGGACTCTACTCACTGCAATTGGACATTAATCTATTTAACATAAACTATTAGTAACACAATGAACAAAATTAATTTGTATATGCATATGATATCTGCAAAGCATGGTTGACCCTGAGCAAAGCCACATTTAAGTGTTTTAATTTTACAAATCTCACTTCATAATTAAGATTATATTCAAAACCAGGCTATGCTGACTTTTCTTGGGTTATCAGTTCTGTTTGCATTATAATGAACATAATAATTAACTTTAACTAACATTAAACAGAACACAAAGCTTCAAATCACTTCCGTTAATAAACATGCATTCATGCATTTCCAAAATATGCATTTAAGAATGCTTTGTCTTATGTTTCCCACAGCTTTTGTTCAGATGGTAGTTGAATAGCTATGGATCCATGAGGCAGGTTCATGGCATTTATGCATGTATTTGCTGTGGGCAGAAATGATTTCGTAAATTCCTGGAATCTAATTGTAGGTGCTACCGTGAACCCCAATATGGCTCTTCATCGCTTGCTGTTGCAAACTGTAGTATGTGGCCTAATGTAACATCTCCTCGACGTCCACCTGAAATACACAAGGTGTTCGTATTATGTTCTTCAATTGCAATTGTTTTGATACAGCCAATTACACAAGATAATAGATTAATATTATACATACCAGCAACTTCTCTAACATATTTGCAGAATTGATAATAAACAGCACCCTCATAATGCCTCCTGTTTGAGCCAGTTGGACTGAACTGTGGAGCCAACAGTGCGTTTAGTTTGCGTATTGTTAATACAGAAGATGGACTATATCCGAAAACATCCTGCATTGATGGCATCTGGCTGCAAATCTGAAACAGTTAAAGAAACATTTAAATTAAACAATAAAACTAATTTCAGCAAGAACATGATCGTACATCAGTACATGTTTCGAACGAAATATAATTAAGATTTAAGGGGTCATTCACAAAGGATGTCCAAGCCAAGAGGGGGGGAGGGGGATTTGGAAAATCAGGACAAAATCGGACGTAGGGGGGGAGGAGGGTTTTTAGCAATCCGGATGTCCGAAATTTTAGAAAAATCAAAAACAAATTTCTTTTTCCTCTATTTTGAACTCTCCCTCCCATTGTGAAATTGGCATTTTGACTATGCGGTAAATACTAGATTTTGTTTTAATTTGTAATTTACATGTTTTTGCATTCACATTTATAGTTATAAAAAAGTTCTAAGAGTAAAAAAAGTTTTTTACTCTTGACATATACAAGGCTGCATGAGTTTTTGCGAGGCATGGCGGATCTCCGGGGGAGGGGGTCACTAATTCGGACAAGGGGGGAGGGGGGTCTGAAAATCCATCATTTATTTGGCCGGACATCCTTTGTGAATGGCCCCTTATAGGTCTGGCCGTTGAGCAACCATCTGCCCTAGTGCTACATACTTACTGTAGTAGTATTTTAGTGTTGAAAATCATACCTTTATGATCTTGCCTGCGAATGTTTTATCCTTTCTTTTGGAAATTATACTTTGACACAAAATGTAAAATTTTTTTTATGACAATGAATAGCTTGTTACCTGGAAGATTCCAATTTTTTTAAACCATTTCTAAGTTTTTCGATACAGCGTGATGTGTTATTCATATCAACAATGGCAGCAATGACATCAGCTGGAATAAACTGTGGAAGTTTCCCATTTTACAAGATGCTTAGGCCTATATAAATATAACAAAATAATAAAAGTATAGTCAACTCTGCCATTATGGTAGGTTTGAAATGCCTTTAACCCATTAACTGGCAATTAAGACTCTTTTCCCTTGATGAGTAAAATTGCCTGGTAGTGCATAGATAAAAATACTAAAGATGTCATATTACCAGTTAATGGGTATGATTATTAATTCAGCTGTTGACAAGTACTGATCTTTTGCAAATAAGGTAAATATGATGAGAATTTTAGTTTGTTGCTTTGGATGATTAAGCAACATAATCTACCCATAACTGGCAATGCACTTCAAAATGCCCCACTTGAGTTTTTACTATGTTCAATTAAAAACTTGTCAAACTTCCCTACTTTAAAGCTGCAGAGCTTCCCCATCGATGAGTAAAATGAGCTGGCACTAGACAAGTAAAAAAATAAGTAGGGCGCATTGCAGCTCAATGGTTTAAGCATACCCATTATTATTTGTTCCAACAATTTCATATTCATCACTCAAAAGCTCTCTTAATCCATGGTCAAAATATTTATCCTTTATCGCCTGCAGAACCAATCGGAAAAATTCTCGTCTCGGTCCACCATAATCCTCAGCTTGCTAGATAAAAATAGGTTTTTAATTAAGAAAAGAATTGTTTAGTTTTTATTGCATCTCAATTAAATCAGTCAAAGTCATAGTTTGAGCATGCATGAATATCTACCCCAAAACTGCAATCATAATCCTCTACTTTCTGTTTTCTAAATATGAAATGTCTAATTTTGTGCAAATTAAATTCAGTTTAAAATAGGTTTATATGTTTATATTATATTTCAAAATAAAATATTCAAGAGTTGTTTTATGTTTGAAACTCTGTTTTCCCAAAATAGAACATTACATATGCTTTGAGATAACATATTTCAAGACCAATTTCATGAATTGATGTCTTCTCTCGCATACTCTTTTAGCAGTTGACACTCTCTTTTCCGCAGAGGCCATGATTACGATTAGTATTGAGATACATTTCATCACACTTTACATAGCCAACAAAAGCCTCTGTGGAGGAGAGAGCAGTTGACATATGTGACTTAATAAATTCTTATCGCAATACCAAATTAGGATGGAACCATACGCCTACATTTACTATTGAGCTCGGCAGAAAACATATCATTAATATAGCGTCAGGATTTGAGACACAAATATTCAAAATTGTATGCCAGCAATACATGCTCTCGTTTGACCATTGTTTATACTAGAAGGCTAGATAAAACACACAACCTTAACTGCCATTTGCAAGTTTAACCTGTCACACTTTGCTCTCTGAAACAGTTACTGTAAAAGAGGGGAAAGCTCGATCACAAAAAGCAGGCATCGGTATAAGGGAATAATTCAAAAGGGAGATGAGACCCCTTAATTTTTTAAATGCGAAAGTGTAAGCTATTGAAATGAACCTCTGGAAAAGAACCTCTGATATTAGAAATGCAAGTTTTTGTGACTATAAACATAATTTTCAGTACTATACCTCTCCATTGGACGTGCAATGTAAGCAAGATATTTTCTATAGCTGCTATCTCATCCAATGCAGTTTACAATAAGTTGTCACGATCCACATAAATGTAGGTTGTCTCACCTTCTGGGCATACATCTTCCCTTTCAATATCCAGACTCCTCCCTTGTAGTATTTTTCACTGTAATAAACGAAGAATTTCTTTGTTACTGACCATATTGCTTTTCTTGCACTGCTCTACTACTTCATCAACTAGGTGATTGAGTTGGTGTATATCCATAGGACCATGTATGTCATCTTCTACAAAAATAGGGCTGTTGTCATTAACTCATTCTCATCCGGTCGAAAAGTAGCAATTTCGAGTGGTGTTGTTTCAAACGCTTATATCTCTCAAACTATACATCGCACGGAAACAGAAATTGCATCGTTCGAAAGAGGAGGACTTCTGCTTCCCAACGATACCAATTTCAATTTCATCCGGAGCTTGGTTAACGATTCACTCGCATAAATTTGCATAAATTATGATATAAAAAAATGTTGCAATTATGCATAAATGTATTTAGCGGTTCAAATTTCAAATATGTCAAAAAAAATTATGAATACGACTGAAAGACACGGTTATGATCTACAAGTACCCGAAGTTTCATGCATGTAGCATAAATAGAAATATTTTTATTGAATTTTTATATAAACTAGGTAGTGGAGTAAAATTTACATTTTGTGCTCACATGAAACAAATACCTTTATCAAAGGTCCTTTTTTATTGCTGCAACATGTTATCAATACAAATTTCCAATATTTCTTACTCTCCAAAGATAGTATGGCACCAAAATAAGTCTGTGATACCCACAAAAGAACACTCAAATCATGATTAGCAAAATGTCTTTATTTCTACAGTTACTACATACATTCTTAGATAATCATTACACCATTGACTTTAGTTATTAGTGGCATAACCAGCCTCAAAATTTGGTCATGCTATTCAAATTTGAAATAATCACTACTCATTTGTTTAGAAATTGATTGTTTTCACAATCTAGAACATGAAAATATTTGCAAATAGCATGACCAAGTGTTGTTGGGCTGGCATCATCATAATTAGTAGTTATAAAAAAGTAATGTTTTCCAAGGCAGTAATGTTTGCCAAAGCACATAATTGGATTATGTGGTGAAAATATTTCCTTTATATTGTACTACAAAAGACCTAAGACTGTAACCAAACTGATATCAGATCACCACGTCATACCCAAATCTGTTGCGATGAATATCTGGACTTCTTCCTGTATAAATTTAAAAGTCGCAATATAACCATTAGGATTGTCTGCAGCAACCCACAGATTTATTCCCCACACAGTACGTCATCTAGCTTTCATGAACTGCCTAACCCCCAACCTATTTCTTGATTTGACAGTGTGTTTGTCTGCAACAACAATATTCTGTGACGGATGGTACAGTTGTTGATGCAGTTTATTGCTGTAGTCTTTAGTACAGGATCTACCATATTCACAAACGCCATAAGCGCTTTGTACCTAACCCGAGAAATTATGTCTATTGCCCACAGACCATGATATAAGGTTTTTACACTCCAATAATTTTCAATCTCACTGTCGACCTTTAGCAAACCTGCATATTATACTAAAAGGCAATCAACCTCTCAAGGTTGGTGGACTGCAAGACCCTTTTTTATTAGTATATGGGGATAACTTTTTCAAGAGTTATTTGTATGTGGGCATATGTATTGGTATGGCCAGGAAACTACCTCCTGAAGCATTCCCTTAGTAAAAAAGAGTCGAATGAACTCAAGCTCACAGTTCATTGAGCCAAATGAACTCAAGCTCACAGTTGATCGAAATGGATCCCGGACATGTCAGTGAGGAGCAAAATCTGGGAGAACATTCCTGGCGTCAGGATCATCATATCCGTCATGTACTATGGGGCCTAGTGGGGATGCTAGACAGGGAGCTTTTGAAACCTTAGGTCCTAATGGCTGGGCTTCCCTCTACCTCTACTCATCCCCCTACCTTCCCTCTGGGTTGGTGAGTGGGGTTCTCATGACTCATCAGAACTCTACTTCCCTGAGGCTATGAAACAGGAACAGCAGATAGGAACAGGATCAATATATTCATCAGTGCGAATAAAAACTTTTATAGACATGGTGCCACTTAAAATTATAATAAAAGCCAACTAGTAAGATATAAGTATAAATACTTGGGTATTATGTATGTAACAAACAACCAAACATGTGCTCAAGACTCATTTTACTTCGCCTAGGAATCAGAGATTTTTATGCCTAAAACACCATAAATTTTCGTCAACAATATAAATAAATACCATTTATATTTGTCAATTTCAGTATGAAACGATTATTTCAACACAAAAAAGCGATATGAGGACATACTTGGTCGTACTAGTGAAGCTATACTAAATACAAATAAATTTACAACGCCATGGCAACGGCAAAACATTGAAATAGAAATTGTCTAGAAATGATACAAATACTTGCCTTGAAACTCCAGACACGACTCCCAATGCCAGGTTGAGATACTTGTCTTCATACGAAGACATTCCATCATTACTAGCACTATCAGTTTGCAAAATAAAGCCAAAAACGTCTTCAGAATGCGATTCAAACAAAACTACAACACAATACATTTCAACGCTCGTGCGTTCCCGTGCGCGATAATCAGGAAAATTGCTCTAAAAGATTTGTTTTTCTGCCTAAGCCAATCAAAATCCGTATCTAGGGTAAACAAACACTCCGGAAGTGATTCCTGCAGTCTTTTACCAGGAAACTGTAATGCTTTACCAAGAATTTGGCGTCCGAAGTTGGCCGAACACTTTCCGATCACGAGAATTGCCATAATAGGCTTAGATTATTTTGCAATTTCCCGAGACTGCTCCGAGCTATAGAATGGAAGATGGCGATTCTTTTGGTATATTTGTTATTATTATACGTTGAAAAGAAGCAAAAAGACGAGCATTTGAATCAGGCGGAACATTCAAAATGCAACAGCAAAATTGATAATGTGTCATTTGCATAAATTTCACCGCATTGATCATTTCAAGGTAAGAAATTCGCTTGAAATTGAGCGAGAAACAATAAAATTATGAATATTTCTGAATATATAGTATCGATCAAGCGGAATTTTTTGGTGGTATTTTCGTATGTCTACTGCAAATACTCGCGAAGTTCTTTAATATTTAATCTTCCCGTCATATACGTCGGAAATTAATATTGGCGGATCGAATTGAGTTAATATCCTGATGTGGACCACTCAAGTTTATTTGATCACTTACAATTGCTGAATTGTTTGTTTCAATTTCAATGTTAATGCTAGGTTGTTCAATATGAATATAACCTGAAGTTCAGGCCCTAATCACAGAATAGGGCCTGACACAAAACCTATCTAAAGTGTGAGATTCCCGTCCACCTGGTGGACGGGAAATCTGATTGGTTGATCAGCATCATGAAGGATTTTGATTGGTTGCAAGTTTACATAAACAACAGTTTTAAAAATAGCTCGGTCAAGGCGACAATTAATATAAAGGTCAAACGCACGTACAAATTCCATTATCAATTTCTTCTAATTTCTTTTTCTTTTATGCTTTATGGCAGAAAATAAATCAAACAAACAGTATTTTGAAAGGGCTTTATCAAAATCTTGGACGAATTTTGGACACACAACGCCGAAAGAACAGCCAAACTAGTCATGTATTCGAAAGCTTGTTGTTGACAGCCAAGATGTTTTGCCAACTGGCTTCGCCGGCAAAAGTCTTATTTTTAATATCAGGTCCTACCGGCATTGTTTTCTGAGCTACATCGCCTTCTTCGTGGTACGATTGAGAATTTCATTGTTGCTGTTGTTAGCCCGTTTTAATAATAAAGTATACTCAGGTGGTACATTAATGCCTGGGTCTCAGTTTGTGTATTTAGCGAAAATAAACAAAAAATCATTAAAAAATAAGTATGGCCTTGATTATTACCATTTAAGTTTTATATGATTTAACAAAGGAGATTCTAAAAGTTGACCTACTTTTTGTTGTCATGACAACAATCACATGATGTATATTTCGAAAAACAACACAAAAAATTATACTTTTTACTCAGAGGCTCTGCAGCAGTATATTTCGTGACTGAGAGGACGCAGAATTGCGATAATCATTCACACATAATATCACTGTTTATCGAATAAATTCGGAAAGTTTACATTTAGGCTTCGTTTCATTATTTTATGCGGCTATATTACGATGATCGGCATCAAACAAATGTTAATCGTGTCATTAAATGTTATCTACAAATAAATGTACGGTTTCCAAATTAACGCAGGAAACTTTGTTCCCTTGTTAATGTTTTTAGCTAACAAACATAGCAAAATTTCGTCAAATTAGCCTGCTGCAAGTCGAACGCATTTTTCGCGTGATGAATTTCACGCGCCATAATGAAACAGTCTGCCGCTTATTGTAAGGGATATTATCTTTCCAATAACAACATTCATTTCGCATTCAAGCCGATATCTTGAAGCATAGTTAATGCTTGAAGGGAAGTATGCCATGGTGGAAAAGACCAAGTGAACTATATGTGCTATTAATTTGTAATTCACAAGCTATTTTTCATTGAAAATAAGAAACAGTCAACAATTAATACTGAATAATCGCAAGATAGCGCACTATAAGAAGCTTTTATTTATCAGCAGTTCAAAGGTCAGCTGTCGCAAATGATACAATACTTATTGCTATACAAAGAGCCAATTATTACATCAAAACTGAATAGTATACCGACTTCTTTGCATTGTATATACCAAAATAATCCTGTCGCTCATATATACTATATTTTGATTTGAAGCAAACGCCCGAATTCACTAAAATACTCGCACAAGGGGCGAATATTCTAACAGACGCATTACTGACAGATCGCGTGTGCAACACGCGCGCAAGATATCATCCAACTGTGGGCAGACCCAGGCATTAACATGCCTGAGTATCCCTAATATCTGCGTCCAGCAAGTTGAGACCTTGAGAAAGCTTGGCAGTCTAGCCGTGCACAGAACTGACTAATTAAATCTTTGTCTGAATCTTATTTATATAAAAGTACCTTGGATTTTTAAGTTTAATTATAAAGCAAAATGCACACTCTGCGGACATGTTCATGAGAATATAATTTTTTTGTGTAACGAAATCTATAACACTTGTCAATCATATTGCACGTTGTGTCTAAAAATAACATGTGGGTGCCCCACGGTCTAGACAGGTTTTGTGTCAGGCCCTATTTCAAATTAGGGCCTGAACTTCAGGTTAATATGAATACTGACAGGAGTTTCATTGTTGCTTGTTAGCTGTTCAGCACTGTCACTAGGTTGTTGGTCAGCAATAGTTGTTTGATGTTCGAATATATCCCCTAAAGTAGTGTGTTGCTCACTGTTAATGTCCATATGGGCTGCAGCATTGGTAGGTTGAATTTGTTGTGGCTGGTTGAAATCATTTTCATCGGACAAATCTGAATTTAAAATGCCAGCTGTACAGGTGTATAGATGTTCACTCAACATAAAATCTTCCTGGCAACCTTGGCATTTTTCTCGAACCTAGATATTGGCATCAGGCTGGATTGAACTAGTTGAAAGTTTCTTTGAATGGGTCTAGCATAGATTTTAGATTGACTGCCAAGAGTGGCTTTCAGGTTTCTCACAGTCCATGGACAGTCAATCATGCGCAACTCTCTGCAGTTAGGTAAGCATCGGAGCAACTCAAACCCGCCACTCTGACGAAGTTGAGGGAAACCGATTGGTTCATCATTATCAGCTTTTTCATCAGACATGATTGTGTCAACAACTTGTTGAGCGTTATCGCTGACTTCAAATTTAATTTTTTTCAAACCCAATCCTGCATTACGCAATATTTGCTTTTCAATAGAGTTAGGAATCTTTGTTTGCTGACGATCAGCCAGACAAAGAATTTGCGCAGTCCATGTTCGCCCACGAGTTGCCTTCCTTTTTCGTGAAGTTGTTCTTGAATGGCGAGGATTAAAAAGCCTAGATCTTTCCGATGCAACAAAAGCTGAAGATGAAGCTGAAGATGGGCCACCAGACGAATTTAAAGACGATTCTGAGCCCTCTGAATTAACGTTGGATTGCTCTGCACTTTGTGTGGATATGGAAACTCTACAAATTTGTCGAAGACGAATCCGATCACCCATGGTGGAGACACCAAGATGTGTAAGTTCTCCATCAGTCATTGCCAAAACAATCTCCGGCTCGATACGTTCTTCTGCAAACCGTTGTTTAAGTGTTCCAAGGCCAAGTTCTTCTAGAATTTTTTCCATTATTGAGGCATCAGATTAAAAAATTTCCATTTAAAACATAAAGACAAGGTTTAAAAAAGCCAAATATTAATAATAGGCACCCCATACAGCGATTTTTCCCGCCATTGTTTACATGCCTGCGATCTTTTTTTACTTTGAACAAAACTTCATGTTAGAAACACATAGCTGCACTTGTCCGCGAGAAAAAATAGGAAGATTGGGTACCACATAAGGACATTCAAGATAAAGCACAACAGCATATAAAGAAGAAAGCACAGCATATAAAGAAAAAAGCACAGCATATAAAGAAGAAAGCACAGCATATAAAGAAGAAAGCACAGCATATAAAGAAAAAAGCACAGCATATAAAGAAAAAAGCACAGCATATAAAGAGGAAACACCACCTAAGACAGTCATGGCATTCCATACAAAATAATCAGTTTTAATAACATGAGACAGTCGTGGCGTTCCATAAAAATGTATAGCGAATGTGAGCAGACGTTAGGCGAGGCCTCCGCCACTAACAACATCTGCGCAGGAGGCTAGGCACTATACTCCTTGGTTTAAATTTAGCACTTTGCTTCGGAAGCAAGTGAGAGCATTCGCTGCCTCGCTGATTGTGAAATTGGGTCACACTTCAGAAGACCTAAACACTCTCAAATGCCTTTCAAAACCACAAGTACAGTAATATCATTTTTTAATATTATTTTATATTCAATATAAGAAAGAAAGAAAGAAACTTTATTCAAACAAATAACAATATTGGTACATTGAATACCTACATATACATTAGTTACAAAAAATAAAATATAAAAAAGATATTACAGTATATAAACTTACAAATAATTTATTCAGGCTAACTCATTCGATATGTCAAAAGTTCTTAGTATATCGTAGCAATATTTTGAAGATAGGATGTAGACGTAGTAGGTATTAAAGACTGTCCAATTTGTCCAAAGTATAAATCTATTATGGCAAATTTATATATTAGAATCATGTACTGTGTGTTATGCTTTCAGAATCAGTTAAGTTCATATACTCTAGTATATTGCTATTTGATGAAGCCATATCTATTTAATTTATTTTGAGGAAGGTTTGAAAACTTTAAATTTTACCCGGAGGAAATTTGAACAGGTTTTGCAACTCTGTGTCTCTGAACGGTAATACCACGCTCTCTAAGGCTGCCTTGCACCAGCCTAAAACCAGCACCAGGGGTGGTTGCAACAATATTAATGATACTGTTGTCGAGATCGTGGTCGGACAGATTAGAGTACTCCCTACCTTCTACACGCATTCCCAATTTGTGACGTCTTTGACGTAACATTTTATCGGAAATACCCATTCAATTTCACTCCAAGAGGATTCCCCAGACTTTAGTGCTTCAATCTGGTTTAGTCCGGCAGAAAATTTCGGTCTTCCAGGACCCTCTGATGTTACAAAGTTTTGTGAACTGTAAAGTTTGCTTCCCTCCCTCTCAACGGCTAGGGAATAAATGCATTCAAAATGCACACGGAATGCAGTTGTCCAGTTTAGAAGATATGACAGCTGTTGAATACAAACTTCAGGCTCGGATTGAGGGACCATGTTTCCATTTCCAAACGTTTCTCTTATCCTCAACAACAGTGTTGACAAAGTTCTTTCAGAGGCATCAAGTCGTCGATATAAAAACTCACAAGAAGTTGAAATTTGATTGTGACGTCTCGATTAATCGCAACAGGTCTCGAAAAACTCTTCCATGTTTTTCGCGAACTTAATATTAGAAGACTGGGACAAGTCACAAGTTCCTTCACTTCCATTTCATTCACTTCCGTTTCCTTTCGAGTTCAAATACTGTGAAATCTTTCGAGTTGAAGTTCAAATGCTGTGAAATCTTTCGAGTTCAAATGCTGTGAAAACATTCGAGTGCAAATGCTGTGAAATCTTTCGAGTTCAAATCCTGTGAAAACATTCAAGTTCAAATCCTGTGAAAACATTCGAGTTCAAATGCTGTGTATAAAACAATCGAGTTCAAATGCTGTGAAAATTTTCGAGTTCAAATGCTGTGAAAATTTTCGAGTTCAAATGCTGTGAAAATTTTCGAGTTCAAATCCTGTGAAAACATTCGAGTTCAAATGCTGTGTATAAAACATTCGAGTTCAAATAATGTGAAAATTTTCGAGTTCAAATGCTGTGAAATATTTCGAGTTCCAGTGATGTTGATGTGTTTGGAGTTCAAGTAATTAATTTTGAAGTTCATTTGGCATGTTTTCAAGTTCAAGTTGTGCTATTTCAATGTCATGGCTACTATATTTTCGATTTCAAATTGATTTTCTCTTTTCATATTTTTGTCCGTAACGGAACGCCATACGAACGTTCTTTGCTTTTTCCTTATCTTTATTTTCCTGTGACGTCTTTTAATTCGTTTAGTTCATCGCCAGATAACAAACGTTTTCAGATAATGAAGCAATGAACCAACAAACACAAATACAAATTGGTTTTCAGGATTATCTGGAACTATAATTTGCAAAAATGTTTACTTAATAAAATAAGCATTAAATGTTCTTCCTTTTTTTCTTACATATACAGTACAGTTTATTATACAGGGTGTATCAAAATAAACGCAATTCATCTTTTGTGGATAATGCAATTCATCTTTTGTGGATATTCATCTAGAAGGATAATAGTTTGGTTTGGTCTTTTCTCTTTCAACCAAACTATTATCAAGGCTTACTTCAAAGCCTGTTCTTTTCTCTTTCAAACAAACTATTATCCTTGTCTCCAATGCTAGTAATAATTGCACAGGAAAAGATTTAGTAAAACCTATCATTTTTAGTTGCTGTTTAATTATGCAAGTTTACTATGTTATTGTTTAGTCGGTTTAAATGTTAGAATTTTCTTCTTTAAACTTTAATGTTAATTAAAAGTATTTTAAAAGGAGACCAGGTTGTTTGAAAATCCTAAACGAATGCTAAAAATCGTCAATACATTCTGGTGTCTGAGCCAGACTGTCATCGAATTGCGATGTAATGTAAACAGAAATTATAGCAAGTTGATGTCAGTCAGCTTAGATAGTCCAAGCCAGATTTGTTATTCCATCTCAATTTTTTTAATCTCCAATCGCAATAACGTAAAGTATTATTACCCGCGAACCAATGAGTCAAATTTAAGAAACAACCCTCTGTTAGAAAGCTGAATGGCTACGCTTTAAAATGAATGTAAACTTTAACGTTTTCGTCTATTATTTGTTTAGCAATTTACATTTCAGTCGAGGATTGCGCTTTTTTTGATACACGCAATAATTCAATAACCCAATATAAATGGACAAATATTTTTTGATTCCTGGATTGGTACACATTTATATTCAAATTAGTTTTCATCTTGTAGGGTATAAATTACAAAATAATGAAACGCTATAAAAATTTGCTTGGGCATAGCTCAGGCATACTTAGGACATCTAGTTTACAATGGAGAACTTGAACTTCAGAACTTGTTGTTCATGTTCAGAAACTCTGTAACCCAAAAACACAGTGTTTGTACCTCTTTGAAGTTTTTAAATACCTCAAATATGTTTGGAAAAACACGAAGTACAAAAAATACTAATTAAAATATAAACAAAGGATGAAAAAGGTGAGAAAATTTTAAAATATTTCAGGTGTTTTCAATTCTGACTTTGACAGCCGGCATTTTCAAACGCAGCGTGCGGTGACAAAACAAAAGGCTTATTATTTCGCTATTAAGAGCACTGGAAGTCTTCAAAAAGAGATAAACACTTTTGAATATTCATCAGGTAAGAATTTTAACTGAAATTCCTTTTGTTTCTGCTGAGAAAACAACGGATTTGTGGCTAAAACGTTGTGCGCGCCAATGTAGATTGCTGTAAAATGTCAGACAGGCGGTTTCTTTTGAAATCTGACTCCAGTTTGAAATCTGACTCCAGCTTGAAATAAGTCCTTTTCAAGGACCAATTGTATAAAAACATAATATGTATGCTCAAATAAAATGAATAATCTAATATTTAGGCATTTTAGATTGCTATAAAAGAGTGAAATAAATTATTTCATCTTTGGTTGTTTGTCAGACGAGAATAAACACATTGGTGACACTTTGTTGCGCATGCAGTTTTCAAAAGATAAACTGCTAAAAATATAGCTTTTATTTCACCAAATAGCAAAGTATCTTGCAGATATTAATAAAAGAGCTCAAGCGAAGTAATTCCATGATAAATAAGTGAATGAGACCAAAAAAGCGACTAAATTACAATTTTGGAAAGTACATAAATTTAATGGCTTCCCGCAAAAGAAGCCATTTCAGAGGAGAACGGCATTTTGTAAACTACTCTCCTGACCTATTTTAGAACTTTTCCTTCAGGAAATCGACGAGTACTTCTTAGAAAATGAGCGTACATTAATTTTATGATGTGCTTTATTGATTTAAAAATTTTATGGGGATATATGAAGCAATAAAGTGTATTTTAGAAGCTTTTCAAATCCCTGTCATGAATGTTCAGAATTCGCACGCGCCAAGTAACGGCATAATTCAATACACTGATTTTAAACCACATTATCTCTGAAATGAGAGCTCGTTAAATAACAACTTGAGCAAGAAGACCAACAGTAGGGTCACGAAAACAGTCGAAATCATGCCATAAAATGCATGAAAAGTTCTTCTAAAAACTTAGTTTTAAACTAGATTGAACTTGCTTTAATGCTATATCGAATTTCATGAAAACATGCCAGGTATTTTCATTCAAAAACACGCTCAAAAAAATCGTAACTACTCACTTGGATTTAGTGTTCATGTTTCTAGCGATTTCCCACTTCGCTTTTCCGTTAGATTGAAAGAAATTGCTGTTTTTCTGGCTGAAAATCGCGCGACTTGATTTGGACAAGAACTTGACTTGAAACATACGCACACTCCCTTATGTTTTACAATATATTTTATATGTAAAACTCTTTAAAAACCTCTTCTTTTTCATCCTTAAAACTTGCTGCAAAGTCCTATCTTATAAACTGATAACGATGATTGCACAAATATATTGGATTGGCGAAAAGGCGTTCGTGATAAAGGCGTGCATGATCAACAACGTAACACGAGTGTTTGAACCCGGAATTGGTTGGTACAAAAACCGAGGTTTGACGATACGCAAAGTCCAAGATCCCTTTTGGTTTCCGTCGTATCCAGTTGATGATCGTTCAACATGTAGGTTGACTTGATCGGTGTAACCTTCCTTGTTATTTGCTGCTGTTTACACTTGGATTCATTGAACGTCAAACTAGATATAAACTAAGTATTACTCGGTATTCACAATCTTATTTATTCTCTAAATCTTTTCCCGTCAATTAATTTTATTAGTCCAGGTTGGTTGATTTATTATGTTCTTTGCGTCTAATCCATTATTAAGAAAGAACGGAGGTTAACTCTTTGCCTCAAGGGCCAACCTACCAATTCTGAGTTATGCTGATTGGAACTTCATTACGACTCTGTTTTTGTATCAACCAATCTGTTTCCTTCTTCTTTTCTTTTTTTATAAACTGATAACGATGATTGCACAAATATATTGGATTGGCAAAAAGGCGTTGGTGATAAAGGCGTGCATGATCAACAACGTAACACAAGTGTTTGAACCCGGAATTGGTTGGTACAAAAACCGAGTGCGTAATTTAGGTTAACAGGTTAACTCTTTGCCTCAAGCGCCAACCTACCAATTCTGAGTTATGCTGACTGGAACTTCATTACGACTCTGTTTTTGTATCAACCAAGCAGTTTCCTTCTTCTTTGTTTTTTTTATAAACTGATAACGATCATTGCACAAATATATTGGATTTGTGAAAAGGCGTTCGTGATAAAGACATGCATGATCAACAACGTAACGCGAGTGTTTGAACACGGAATTGGTTGGTACAAAAACCGAGTGCGTAATGAATAGTTCCAGTCAGCGTAGAGTTAACCTCCGTTAATTCTTATTAATGAATTAGATGCAAAAGAAATAATAAACAACAAACCTGGAATAATAAAATTGACAGGGAAATATTTAGTAATCTGTATATATGAATGGTGAAGCCGGGAGATATATATGTGATATGTCTTGAAATATACTGCCTGCTTAATTAAAAATTCTGAAATATACTTGAATTTAATTCGGCGCACACATGACCACGGTTCTTTTTATGTTTTTTTAAGCCAGATTACTAAAAATACATGCAGGTATAACTATGATACATTAATACTTACTCAGGCAGGGGCTCGTTATTGTTTTTACTAACAGTTCCAAATCCCAAAAACTGCACTTCATCATCCGATTCTAACAGTCCTGGGGTTCCATGCTCTTCTTCAACCATTAAGTAGGTACACCTGTCAGATAATTCTTCACTTGGTTTTTGCACCACCCCAAATGATAGATTGTAAAGTTCTCTGGATCTGGGCTGAGGGAACCAGCCCAGTCATACACAGCTGCCATGTGAGAGGTTTTTGGAAACTTTCTAGATTGCAAACCCATTGTGATATGCCTGACCTTGACAGTTACAAACTCATCATCAGGCTCGGGAACCACTCTATCTGCTCTAGCATTCTGAATTCTCTTTTTGCGCTTTGATTCTTCGTTCTCTCTTTCATGTGAGACGGCTTTTCTTTCAGGGTTCCCACAACAGCATAACGCCAATTACTGCAGGCCCAATAATAATATCTAACAATGACAAATTAACAGTTAGACAACTAAACAAGTATGCATGCTAACCAACAAACGTACGTTCTATAACGCACTAATGTATTATGTATTAATAACAGCTGGATATAAAGATGCTGGATATGCAAGACTATGCACAGAGTTGCATTTAAGACATATAGTTTTAAGTGTTCGAGGATTATCAGGGTCATAATTGAGCTCTAATGACTGATAATAGTATTTTAATAAAGTTTGTTTGAAAACGCTAAGGCTGTCCGTGTCGAAATGAAGTTCATCAACAAGTCTGTTGCATAGACGACAAGCTCTTACAAAGAATGATTGTTGGTAGGTAGTGGTTTTGCTTTTACGTATAACATATTTCACGGTGTTGTTGTATGATGATCGTGTCGTTCTGTGTGTTACACGGGTGACGGGAAGAGCAGACGTTTCTATGAGGCCATGGGTGATTTTAAAGAAGAGGGTCATGTCTAGCTATTCGTGTCAGTATGATACAGGAAGAAGATGAAGGGAAATTAATCTTGTCCTATAGTCCACGTCTGTCGAAAATGGCAAATTTAAAATGAATTTTGTTGCGCTTCTCTGAGTTCTTTCCAACATGTTCATGAGATCAATCGCCTGTGGTGCCCAAATCTGTGATCCATAGCCGAAATGAGAGCAAACCAGTGCAAGATACATTGAATGTCTTGGTGTTATATCTGTCACAAACATAGTGTTTCTTCTGATGTAGCCCAGTAGTTTACCTGCTTTCGACACTTGTTGGCGTACTTGCACTTTCCACGTGAGGTTTGACGATACGCAAAGTCCAAGATCCCTTTTGGTGTCTGTCGTATCCAGTTGATGATCGTTCAACATGTAGGTTGACTTGATCGGTGTAATCTTCCTTGTTATTTGCTGCTGTTTACACTTGGATTCATTGAACGTCAAACTAGATATTGAAGACCAGTGTTCTAAGTGTCTGAGATCGTTTTGGAGTAACACCGCATCACTTTGACATTTGATCGCCGAGAATAGCTTCGTATCATCAGCAAACATTGCTACTTTGCTGGTTGTTACTGAATCAGGAAGGTCGTTGACATATAACAAAAACAGAACTGGTCAAGGATGGAGCCTTGCGGGGCACCTGATGATATAGGAAGTGTGTTCGATATAGCACCAAGTACTGTGACGCGCTGACGATGACCGGTTAAATACAAAGAGAACCACTTCAGCAAGCTTCCTCCACAGCCGAAATTCCTCAAGTTATATTTCGACCTGTCCTCCACTGTCCAGACACCGTCGAATTATGCAACGGGTTTCGTCGCATAATTCGACGGAAATGCGACGTTGATTTAGACGTCGAATTTCCGTAGCGTTAAACACAATGCATAAATTACTATAATTATTACAATTATATTTTCTATCCCACAATTCCAAACTTTTCTATTTCGTGTGTCCCACGAAAGCAAATTTAAAAATGGCAGGCGAGCAATCTTGTTCAGAGTGTGGATCAGTGACAAAATACAAGTGCATAACTTGTGATATGTTTGTTTGCAATCGTCCAATGTGTTCTGTGGCAGAGAAAAACGAGGACATTGCAGGCTGGGTGGCAAATTCCAGCGTTTCTTATTGCAATGATTGTTTTTTTCAAACGAAACCACTCAGCGAAGACTACGAACTGGATGACGAAGATATTGATGAAGAACATGGGCTAAATGCCAAAAGTAAAAGGAAAAATAATGGAAGAAGATCTTTATGGAAATCAGAATACGTCGATGATATGGTTGACATTATTACAAGCAGTGAGAACTTTAAGCGAAAGCTGATGTTTACAAACAACAAGAGGGCGACCAATGGCGAAGTTTATAGTCAAGTGTTAGAACAGATAAAAGAAAGACATGCTCTGTTCCCTTTCACAGTTAAGCAGATGCGAACCAAGTTCAAGTGGTGTATAAGTATGTGCAAAAAAGTTGCCTTGACTATACAAACAGCCACCGGTATAAAGAGATTTGTTGAAGATAAAGGATATGGTAAGTGGTTTGGTCTCTTGTTTCCATTAGTAAAAAGCAGAGATTCCTGTTAGCCAGAACAAGCGATTGAGCCTTCTACCAGCACAGCCACGAGACCCACAAGTTCACGTTCAAGATCCTCCAGCACTGGTGCTAGTTCTGTGGATGACTTGGAAGATGGTGAAGATAAAGCAGAGGAAGATGTCAGATCAAATATGTTTGTCCCCATTAGAAAAAATAAAAATAAAAATGAGTCGGAGCCAGTAGGGAAAATATTGAAGATTTTGGAAACAATGGCTGAGAATGATCCAACCAAGGAGCTTCTGAATTTCATGAAAGAGGATGCTGAGAAATCCAGGCAAAGCGAGATGGAACTTGTGAAGCTTTTGGCAAGTCAGAATAAGGAACCACCACATTCACATGTACCACAGCAAACTGTACCCCAGGAGCATTTTACCTTTGGACCACAACAACAGTACTTTGAGCAACTACCACCACAGCATTGGGGAAATCAACAACACTGGGTTTCTCATGTACCACAAGAAGGTCAAGAGATCAACACGTACACAAAACTTTGAAAGAATTTGTTTAGTTACTGAAATTTTGTAGAGTAATTGGATATTCAGTTTGTTTTACTTGTTATGTGGCCTATTACACAGTAAAAAGCCATGGTTGGTCATACCAACCAGCATTTTGTTAAGTTCCATGTGAGTTCATTGTTCAAGTTAATTGTTTTTAAGTTATGATGTGAACATCCCCCCTCCCATAAGTGCCCATTGGCATTTGAATGGTTAACTTTACAATATTTTGCTGTCAAACGTCCCAACCCAAGCAGAAAAGGTTTTGAAATGCTGCACATATTAGGAATTTCGTTGGAAAGTATAACAGTAAGTACTGAATTTCGAATCATTTCAATTTTAATAATGCACTATGTCCTAAATTAAAAATATATTAAACCTCTGATTGTTTACTAAATGAATTTGGCAACAGATTTACTTTCTGTTGTCAAATGCCCCGCATCTCATGGGTCATTGTCAAATGCTATGCTGCAGCCATTTCGTAATTGCCTCCCTTGTGATTGACTAAATGTTCACAGTATAAATTAATCCTATGTGCACCTTACTGTCGTTCCAATTGAAGTGTTGCTCAAATATTGATTCAATACATTACCTCGGGCTGACCAATTCATTTGATCAAGTTCCTCAAGATATTCATACACTTCCTGTGAAAGAGGCAATTCCAAGTATTTGATCATTTCTGGTCACTTCCTTTCTATTTATGATTGGTTAGTTGCACAAACAACAAAGGTGATTGGTGCATTCAAACTATTCAACAGGAAGTTTACAATTATACTAGGAAGTGTATGAATATCTCGAGGAACTTGATGAAATGAATTGGTCAGCCCGAGGTAATGTATTGAATCAATATTTGTTGTGAATTGGGACATTCCAGAAAACATCCATACCACCCCCACAGAGGAAATTGGACGTTAACCCCCCTACCCCATTCGGATGTCCTAATACATTCACTATTATGAAAAACAATTTTATCCTCCCTTCCGGATGGCAGAAATTTCCTCCGTGGGGGGAGTGTGGATCTTTTCTGGAATGATCCATTATGTATTCTTGGGTTTCACTACAGCATTATGCCGTGGATCTGATGGGGGTCAACCTGAAATGTATTGATGTTTTCACTGTAATGGAGTGAAAAAATGATATTAAATTCCATGTATTTGTCACCAAACACAAGACTAATACATAAAACAAGCAATTGACTCACTCTGATAACTATGTTTTGTTTTAGAGTTTACCCCCCAGCCCCCATCACCTTTGTGATGTCATATGAAACCCAAGAATATCATGTAATATAGTAGCATACAGTAGTCCAAAATAATCATTTGCAACATTTTGCCTTCACCACTACAATTGTTTATGGTTCATTATTGGAAATTTTTGTTCACATTTTTACTGTAATTGAATAAAAAATCCAATTATTATTAATCCAATTTATTTTTCCACAGTAAAAGTTGACTCAGTGGCATTTAAAAGAATGAAAGGGGTGTAGTAGTACTATAGGTTGAACACAATTAATAGGTTTACTACTTATTGAACTTTTGCTTGTTTTGGTTCATTTCCCAAGCTTTCTGTACTCAAATACTGTGTGTTTTTCTTTGATCCAGACAACAAACATAATATTAATCCTACTGTACAATGCCGAAATATGTTCATGAGGCAAATAAGTAGTAAAGCAAATAACGTTTAAATGTTCATGGATCTATTTTATCAACACACTCCATGTCCTTGTTTTTTTCTTTCCACAATTTTTCTTTTAATGCTTCTCGTATTTTGCCTGCTTGAACAGAGGTATCTTTATCTTTTTCGCATGTGCGCATGTTTAGTAGATCCCGAACAGTCTCCCTATCTCGCCGTTCCAATGTTGTTACATCAGTAGCTATATCAAGTTGCTGAGGGAAGGGTTCATTGTATTCAATACAAGTATTGTGAAGCACTATGCAAGCCAATGTTACTGTTTTCATTGTTTGCTCGTTGCACTCGCATTTCCTAAACAAAACTCTAAACCATCCTTTCAATTGCCCATAAGCACATTCAGTCACCATTTGTGCACGGGATAAACGATAATTGAAGTATCTTTGCTCTGGTGTGAGAACAGCACATGTATAGGGCTTCATGATCCATGATATAAAAGGGAATGCAGAATCTGCCACAACAAGAGGACAAACTTCCACTTTACCAATCTCCAAAATTCTTGAAGTTGTGATATTCTTTGGCAGCTTCAGCACCCCCATCAGGACATTTTATAGAAATATGACAACCATCTACTGCTGCCCAGCAGCATGGGAATTGCCATATTTCTTCCATGTCCATTATTTTTTCTTTCACATGTTCTTGTGATGATGGAAAATGAGCAGTAACAGAGCTATCCCATACATTGCTAACAATTGCTTCGCACACTTCAATAACTATACCTTGTATGGTGGCAATACATCTCTGAAATAATAGTGTATAATAATAATCGCCACGTGCCAATCTGTACAGGCAAATTGCAAGTCTACATTCTGGTGATATTGGCTCTTCTGTTCTAGCTGATTTCTCCAAGTTATGCCTTATTTTAGCAAGAATGGTCGAAAAAATATTATGTGAGATTCGAAACGTATTCTTGAAACGCTTTTCTGAATATGTAGACCATATATTATTCCACCAATGACGCCAAGAAATTGTTCTGTTGAACCGACGACACGTACGAATCCGAAACTTTTTAGGCTTTATTAACATAAGAGACAGCATTGATAAACATAACTGAGTTATCTTCTTCCTTCTACTTGCAATTAAATGAATTACTCGGAGTTGTTTCTGCTGTCTTTGTATCCGTATTTTTAAAATTTGCCTTAAAATTAATGCCTTGTTTATTGCCGCCATCTTTTAAATGTGCCGAATTTAGTAATTTTAGTCGACGTCTAAATTGCCCAGTAACTTTCATCGCATTCTCGTCGCATTAAATGCGACGAATAAAATCCGACGGAAATTCAACGTCTAAAACAGGCCTTAGCCTTCCAGTTATTTATAGTTCAATGGAAAAAAGTCGTGCAAAAAGTCGCGCAAAAAGTCGAGCAAAAAGTCGAGAAAAAAGCATTGAACTATAAATAACTGGAAGGCTAAGTCAGGGGGGGGGAAGTTGAAGCTGTGCTTGAAGCTTTTTTGTAGGTAGACCCAGTCCTTTTTAAATTTTTTTTTCAAAATATGTACATTTTTTTATCTGAAAAATCTTGCCCCAAAATATTAGTTATACCACCAAATTTAATTTATATCAGTAGTATGGCAAACAAATGTAATATTCGCAAAGCAAACAAATCACGAATTAGCAAAAAAATGCGAAAAACACAACCATAAGCATGAACGGTCCGAAAAACCGCATGTTTTAGGTTGCTTTTTCTGAGTTTTTGAAAGTTTAAGATAAAACTAAGACGTCAATACCTCAGGAATTATTTAATCCCATGCAAAATACATCTGTATGCAAAGTTTCAAGAAGATTGGACGTTTTAAGGTCGGAAAAAAAAGCATTTAAAAATTGACAAAAATATTGCCATATTCAAAGTGCTCACAGTGGCCAACAAGAAGAGCGATAGATGACGAAAATAACATCACTTGAAAAACGCCAATTTATTTATGTTTTAGAAGGAATAAAACAAGGACTAAAAGCTCAGGATCAATAACAATACCTGGGGTTTAGTACAACATACGTTTTGGGACTGTCAGAATGTTTTATAGTATTTTTTTAGATGAAGAGCGAGGTTTGATTGGGCACGTCCGAACATTCATCATTTTTTCAAAATACAAAAGCAAAACTCCTTACTTTTTGCTGCAGAGAGATGTAAAACAGTTGGAACTAATGGGAAAACCTGGTTTGAATCCCAATCATTGCAGTATTCGCATGGAAAAAGTGATTTTCTTGCAAATTTTTGCTCGAAAACAAACACTTGACCGAATTTTTTTCACTCCTCGAAACTCTCCTTAGTCCTTTTGAAAGCTGATTTTCCCGCGAGCCGGCTTCAACGAATCATAGACTTTTTTCATAGGAGTTAGCCTTCCAGTTATTTATAGTTTAATGGAAAAAAGTCGAGAAAAAAGTCGTGCAAAAAGTCGAGTAGCCTGCGTAGCAGGCGGTAGAAGCTAGAAATACCGCCTGCCCAAAAACTACACATTCTGAGTTCCGCCCACTGCATGGTCCCGCCCATCATCTTACAGTAATGTATTTATTTTAATTATTTGTCAAACTCACGTATTTACACCAGTGCAAATATACGGCTCTGACGTTTCATATCTTCGGTTCATTCAATGCTATGAAGACAAAAATACCACGTTCGATTCAGTGTAACAATATGTCCTCATTCATAGTGATAGTTTTAGTCGATGTCAACATTATAGCGATTTATGAGCTTTGAAAGTCAAGCGAGTTCGTGTATTATCAAATTATGCAATTGTCTGAACAAAAATATAGACTAGCCATACCTTTCGCCGAACACAACTTCGGCCCCTTCAGACGTAACTTTGTAATAGGCTTGTTCCAATCGCTATCAAAAACACGACTTAGAGTGTCATTTACGAGCCTGTATCTTCAAATCTGCACTTTTATCACAGTATCACATCTTCAAGCAACAAATGTTGGATTGATATTCGTTGTTCATTCTTCAAGACGAAGCGATTTCCGATTCCAGATAAAGATTAAAGAATTCAACGCTTAATTCTCAAATAATACATTCGTTATCTTTTGGTTAGTGTATGCCATCACTCGATATATCGGTACAATTACGAAAATAACAATAGTTTATATTATAAATACGGCAACGCCGCTTTAAAATTACGGCAACGCCGCTTTAAAATTCTAAAATTAGCACTAATTATTGTAATTTTGTCAACATTCTGACCAATCAGATACCGTCTGCTACACAGGCTACCAATCAGAATGCTCCGGCACCCAGCTGCCGGGGAGAACTCAGAATGTGTAGTTTTTGGGCAGGCGGTATTTCAAGCTTCCCATTCTGTCGTGCCCGCGAATACCACCTGCTACGCAGGCTAAAAGTCGAGAAAAAAGTCGTGCAGAAACTCAACACGATCCTATAAGTTAACAACGTTTGAAAGTTAATTGCGATTCAAACAAATTATTAAACATGATTCAAAAAGTTGAAAGCAATATTCGTATGGCCCTTCCGGGCTCCCTTATAGAAGAATGAAGAACATTTGAATGTTGAAAGAAACTAAATCGCAGGTAAATAATTTGATATTTTCACCCACTGGTTTTGACCGTCGAAATATCAGACCCGACCGAACGTCAGAACACAGCACTATACTCTGCAGATTACGAAGTAATTTATATGATTTTTCAGTATAAATAGTTACTTACTACAGTACTAAAATAATTACTTAAGTTTTTGAGTGACTAGGTAGGTTTAATAAGCAGCATAACACGATCATATTGTGCAGTGTATTTTGTAATTGACATTTTATGCTCGCCAGGGTGCATTCCATGTAAACTGCACCGGAGATACACCAACATATGCGATAGTTCACGCCAATACAGTGGACATTTTAACTTTGGGGACCAAAATCCATGTTAAAATGGCTAACTTGGCATGTTTTATATACTGTTAACATCATATTCTTGAAGTTATACTGTGATTATACATTACTGTATGACAATCCATTCAGGCACAAATTTACTGTAGTTACACACTTATCATTTCTTTTGAGTGATCTCACACCAATACACCAGCAATTTTGTAACCTCAGGCCAATCACTCAGGCCAATCTATTTCGGTTTGGAGGTTTCATGCAGGGTGGCTGAGTTTTGTAGGATGAAACCAAACAAACAAAAAGCCATGCATGTCATTGATATTAGCTGATGTAGTGTACTGTATTTGTTTCAAATGCAAAAGGAAATGTGTACAATGTATATATTGTGACCAAAGCCCTGAAATTGGTTTGAAAATATTCACTATAATTTTTATATATTGTATTTCAGTTGTACTGAAGACTTTACAAATTCAATACAAGATTGTAAATGCTATGAAGCTTTGCCCATCAGTCATCAAGAGTACAACAGTCAATATGCACCTGTACTTGTTGTGTTAGTTAGATTCAGAGTGTTGTGGGTTTAGCTGGTCAAAATGAAGAAAATAAATCCATTTTGATGCACATGTCTCAAATTCATGATTGGCCCAGGAGCATTGTTCTCATGAATCTTTAGCAGTTAGCCTTCTGTCTTGTTTCATGAGATTGAATACTTCCAGGCCAAGGAAGTATTTGTGATAAAATTACCAAACAGGTGCATTGGGAGATGAGACCTAAAGGGGTAATAGTGAAGGGAGTAAGTGTTGAGGAATCACTGAACAAATGTAAATTTGCATGAACATTTCATTAGTAAGTAGTCAGTAGTCAAGACAATCAAATAAGATAAGTAATTAAATTTTGCAGCTTTAATTTGACCAGTATTAGTATACACAAGTTTATTTCTCAGAGCATCTCTCTGAATACAATATCTTTGAATGCAAATAAGCTGCCAACTATTACATTGGAGCATCGACTGCAAAAACAGTCCACAAGGAAATCCTCTGCAATGAGTGCTGCAATGTTCGTGACTGTTAAGTCAGCATTCTGTCTTCCCAACTCCTACAATTAAAATATCAGGGTAATTAATGTGCCTTCATTATTCACAGAACTTGATGACCACATGGGGTCATCCATTTAGTTCAAATGTCTCAAATGCAAGGGAGTCAAAAATTTTTCAGTTATCTTCTGCCACACACAAATTAATAAAAGTTTCATTTAACTCAAATATAAAATTATCCCATCACTTTAGTACTAAACAAACAATGTATGAACCACGATTTAAGTTTTGACAGCCTTGACAAAAGTCAACACTTACCTGTTTTGATACAGCAGTAAATACCGTCTAACTTGTTCGGTTGGTCAAGCTGCTTTGTACTTTGAATCAGTATTACTAACTAAATGATCCAACACTTGAATATGATCTAATCCTTGTCATTTTGGCCTCCATTGATGCACTCATTATTACGACGCAAAACTTCGGTTTCCTCTGGCTCTGCAATTTCAGGGTTAAAAACTTCAAATTTACTTCTTGAAGCATTCATGTTATATATTCCTTTCCTGAAACAAGGTAGGCTTGGATTGATATACCGGATATATCCGATATACTGGTATTTGTTTAGATACCGGTTTGGCGATATTGACAATTTAAAAATACCGATATACCGACATTTCGGTATATACTGAAATGAAACGCTCTTTCAAGTCAAATTTCGACAAAAAAGAAAACTTTGATTTTGGAAGGTGGAAGTACTAGCATTTGCGAAGCAGCGAAAACCTTTTCTGGCTTTTCAAGTTTTTTTACATGCTTGCTAACTTGTTTATGTGTTAGTTTTAAAAATGCAACGTTTTTTATGTTTATCACTATTAGCAGCTTACTGAGACACTATCTGAATTTATATACAAAACGAATATTTTTCTGAATGATCCAACACTTCGACGCCCAATCGACGGCCTACTAATAATTGCCGCTTAGCGCTGTTAATTGTTAACATAGCTTGATAATGCGAATCTTGTGACATTTGCACTAATAACAGTATGTGCCACATTAATATTTTGTCAAACCTTGATTTTTCTTGACGGTCAGCACTTCAGTTTGGCTTAAAAAAAAACGTTAAAAATACCAGAATACTGGTATTTACCGGTATTCTGATGGCGGTATATCGGTATTCGCGATATCGATCCAGCCTAAAACAAGGTCTGTTTCGATCCAGGAGAAGAAAATAAGCGTTTTAAATCGAAAACTATATATTCTGTAATGGAAATCTATGGTACTCCTTATAGTCAGCCATATCATATTCATAGCCTATCGAAGGGAAGATGGCTGTGAAACTCATTAGAATAACAACATAACTCATCATCTATGTTGGTCAAAGTTTATTCATAAATCTGGTCCTTCACCGTCACGTGTGTATTGTATTTTTACCGAACTAACCAATAGCAATGTTTTAGGAAAGTCACCTATCTGTGACTCGAACAATAGGGAAACTGGAGATTGCTATTGGTGGATTTGGTAAAAATACAATACACACGTGACGGTGAAACGAACAGATTTATGAATAAATGTTGACTAACATAGATAATGAGTTATATTGTTAGGGGTCACGTCCATATTCATGTTGCCACGCATAACGTCGAATCGACGTTAACACTCAAACCCACCCACCCACCCTAAATAACGTCGAGCGTGGCAGTCACATTGTTCAAAACCTTCACAAAATTGTAATTTTGCCACGAGATTATCGAGATAACGTCGAGAGAATTGAGATAAACCCACCCACCCACTCATAACGTCGATTCGACGTTATGCGTGGCAATATGAATATGGACGTGGCCCCTTATTCTAATGAGTTTCACAACCATCTTCCCTTCCCATATTTATTAGTACAAGTTCGTGTTCAATTTCCGCATTCCATTGTTTTCTTGCGACCAATCAAATCTCTTCTTGTTTTGGTTTTCACCAGGGCCTTCGGCAACGCAGTGCCAGCGGTAAGGCCCTGGGACCAAGGATGATGCCAGGGCCTTCTCAGCACGCGCCTCTCAGCATGAAGACCCTGGGGACGAGGTTGGATGCACTGATATACACTAAGACTGGATAGCGCATCCGGTGTTCAGAGTGAAGCCGGAAGTGAGCTGACTGGAGCTGACGGCCGCCATGTTGAATGGCCCCACTTGAGAAGTGAATACATTGGAGTGTATTAACTCTTCAAAGAAGGCAAAGAGTCGTTTTGGTCGTTGAAATCTGCTGTCTATCAATGGAAATTATATTTTTATTTTTAAAATAAAATATATTGGATGTTGTGTCACAAAATTGGGCATTGGATTATTTAAAGATTGAAATCGCCAAAGGGTCAAAGAGACATTTTATATACAATATTTTATATACAAAATATAAACAAAGACAGACGAAAGGCTATGCGAGAAAGACTGTACCGTTAATTGTACAAATCTACAAAAATTGTGAGTGATATCTTGAATCTTTCAATTACAAATGAGAAAATCCTGATTGTGAATGAGTGTCTGTGTGGTTGTTCAATGCAAGAGGAGTCCATGCCATACATAATATTATATTAAATATAGTATATTATAAAATATAAATTGACATACTTTACTGATTTTATATCAATTTCATCAAAGGCTCTTAATTTATGTAAAGATTATATTTTATATTAAATGTATTTAATAATGACATATTATAATATATAATTATAAATAGTTTACTTTTGCAGATGCAATAGCTGGAAATGTTAGTTCTTCAACCTTTTTTTTTTTGCCTTAAATTTCATGCAATATATAGCTTAATTTGTAGGCTATCAATGTTTTTTTTTACAGGTGACAAATTATATTGTTAATACTGCAACTTTGCTACACTGTTATTCAGCTTTCATTCAAAGGCTTTCAGAGATTCTCTCATGACCCCTAGTGTTCACCCCTGGTGATGAGCCTCCTAACAACTTTTTCAATTTTGTGCTGTATACATACATTCAGTATTAAGTAATGTGTCAACATCTGGGAAACTAACTTATGAATATCTTACATGCAGTTGACATTACTTTTAATGTGCTATATTTCAAGGTTTAATTAGTCACCATAGGCACAGGAGGAAAGTTTTGAAAGTATTCGCGGGCACAAAATTTAAAATTTTTAAAATTGAGGAGCACTTCATGTCAACAGCACCAAATTTATAATTTGTAAACTTTTGAAGAGAAATTGGGCAAGGCAGGGGTGGCAAGGTCATGTATAGGGGAGGTTGAGCTCCCCTATATGGAAATTCTAGCCCCTCCCAAATCAAGGAAGTGCAATGTACCAGGAAAAATTATGTTTTGTAATGACCACTGTTACAGACAATAAACTCTGCGCCATTTCAGAGCCAACAAATTCAACATTTTCATGTGTGAGCATAAGTTGAACGTTCAAAACAATAATTTCACTGTTTCAAAGATTATAGCCCCCTGTTGGGAACCTGCTATTCCTTGTCAGGGAATTACTGGAGCCTCTGCTCCCACACACACACACACTACTGGAGCCTCTGCTCCCACCAGTGAACTGTAATAAGACTGGAACGATAACTCGGCCGCCATGTTTGAAGCCAAATTAAAGGCCGTCATTGGAGGTACGGCAGCAAAAATACACCTCCTCGAAAAACTCGGATTTCTGCCTTTCTAGCTATGCTAGAACATAGATAAAAAACTTAAAAACATCTACGATACTTGGACTATTGCACAAATCATGATTGGAAGCCGTAGAAAAGACTTAACGTTATTTTTTGTGTACCTGAAAGTCGTATTTTGTTCGGCACGGAAAATATTTTGTTATTTTCTTGAATACAAAAATGGTACCTTTCGAGATTTTGCTGTTAGTGGATGTAGAATACTTAGAACTATCCAGAAAACCAAGTTTGAACCTTCAGAAATTAGGTTTTATGAGAAAAAATCTATTTTTTACAGTAAAAAACGGCCAAAAACAGCCTTCAAGTGATTTCTACTTTCCCCAGTCCTTTTTTTGATAAACAGAGCAAAAACAATTGTTGGAAAAGCTAAAACAAAACTTAAAAAACCGCGAAAATGTAGTATTTAAATAGTAAAAAAATTAAAATAATTATGCCATTGGCATGTGTTATATCTGCTTGTACCAGCAAGCAAAAGGTTGGCAAGAGTGGTTCAAAGAAAACACAAAAATTAAAAAAAAAGCAAATTGCATTTCACAGGTGAGGCTACTATACTCCTATAGCAAAGAGTTTAGGCAAAATAAGAAATTTTATTAGTGCTACAATTGAATGTAAACATTAGCAATCTAGCAAACTAAATGGATGCAGACATACAAAATGTAAAAATTCAAAAATGTATTTAAATAACAAGGCTGTTCAAACAATAATTTACATAATTATACAGTATAACAATACAGTTTGACAATATGAACTAGTCAATTGAAAGCCTGGCCCGGGCATATAGTAGGACTTTGCAGGGGAAATATTGTTTTTTTACAAATGTTGCCAATTTGATACTAGCTGGGATTTAAAAATTTCATAAAGCCAGGTATAATAGCTGGGGTTTAACTTGTGTGAAACAGGGCAAAGGAACAGCATTTTTGAGCCAGGATTTCAAGACCTATGATACTGTATGTTAAAATCCCTGCATAGTCCCAGGGGTTGGGGGAGGGTTTCAATTGACTAGTGCATTACACAACAATATTATAAAAAACTGTGCATTCACCCTGGTGATAATTTGCATTAAAAATTGAAATATTTAGATTTCCAGTAAAAAATCCATCACTACTGGAAAAGTGGGAGGAGTCGGTCAGGAGTGTAAATGATTCCAAAGACTGGAAAGCTACAGAATTCAGCAGTCTCTGTAGCAACCACTTTCACACAAGGGACTATATTATCCCCCCATCAGAAAATGATGCATGCAGATTAAAATCCAATGCAGTTCCAGAAATATTTTCAAAACCTCCTCTTAATGCTGGCTTGACAAGATCTTTGCGCAGACGACTTGAAGGAGAAAACCAGTCAAACAATTCGCTTTCCCCAGAAGCAAAGGTATTGCACGACCACACTTACTGCAGCAAATTGACGACAGCATTCGAGGATAGCGAGAACAAGGAAAACGACAGGCCAGCACTAGAAGACACATTAAAAAGAAAAATTAGGAGCCTACAACAACAACTTAGGCAAAAGAAGGCAAAACAACAAACTATGGCTGATGTAATTCATGAACTTCAACAAAAACAAATAATTGAACAAGATGATGCTGAGGTAATGCATTCAAAATTTGATGGGGTTCAATTGTCGATATTCAGAGACACTAAAAACAATGTTAGTTGTGCACCCTGTGGAAGGAGATATTCTGACCCAGTGAAAGAATTTGCCACAACTCTACACTACTACTCACCTAAGGCATATCAATATGTACAATCCATCCTCCCATTGCCAAACCATCTCTCATCAGAAAATGGTCAAGCGTCTTAGAGTGCGACCCAGGATTTGTGAAAGAAGCCTTTGAATCACTTGGAAAGGAAGCATCCACTAGTTCAGAGAAAAAGGATTGTTTCTTGGTAATCGATGCGATGTCAACCAGAAAGCAATCTTTATGGGATCCCAAACAAGACAAATACGTAGGATTTGTAGACTATGGGTCAATTGTATCTGAAAAACCCGATACTCTCGCATCAGAAGCAGATGTATTTTTACTGGTTGGAGAGCACGAAGCCATTGGAAATGCCCAATTGGATATTTTCTTTCAGATAAAATGTCATCGAAAAAACAGGCAGAACTTGTCAGAATAGCACTTCAAATGGCTGCAGAAGCAGGACTGCGTGTTTGGTCAATCACCACAGATGGCACAGCAGTAAACATTAGTACATTTCGAGAATTAGGCTGTGACTTTACCACATCCTTTGATTCTATGGTGACGAAGTTCAATCACCCGACGGAAAATTACTATGTTTATGTTATACTCGACCCTTGTCACATGTTAAAGCTTGCCAGGAATGCTTTAGGTTCGCTCAAATCACTTGTTGATGAAGATGACAATTTAATCCAATGGAACTTTTTCCAATCTTTAGACAAAATGCAAGAAAGCGAGGGATTTACGCTGGGTAACAGGTTATCGAAACAGCATATCCAATTTCAAAAACACAAGATGAATGTTCGTCTGGCAGCACAAACACCGAGTGTTATGTTATTAGTCTGTTTATTATGTTACAAAAACAACCCTTATATACATGAATCTAATTAGCATGCACATATACTGAATATATTACAATTCTCTTTCTTTTTTTTTTTAATTTTAAAGTTATTTAAAATTGTAAGGTCTCTAATTAAACTAAGTGTCTATTACCGTTCGATGATAATACTTAATAATACTAGTTCATGACTAATGTTCATTATATATAACCATTATATATTTAACTTAATAGTCAATCTAAATCTAAATGTCTCGTGAATAACATGTTCATCATAACTTTAATTTACTAAATTAACATGCTTGAAATCTCTCAGGTGGCTTACTCAATCGTCCGCTTCTAGTTTTATAATATTGTCCAGTACTTGGCTCTGAGACTTGTTCCTCACAAACTTTTCTGGCACTATCAGGCTGGAAATCTTCAATTGGTTCCCACTGTCTTGATATCTGAACACCATACTTCTGCTTTATGATATGATTTCTGTTTCTTCTAAATCGTTGACCATTGGGTGTTTGAATGATGTACGATCTAGGTGTTTCTAGTTTCTCTTTGATCACTGCTGGTTTCCACTTATTCTGTACTTGGACTCGTACTGTTTCTCCTTCTTGCATTGCGGGAAGCTCTGTGGACCCTCTGTCATAATATCGTTTTTGCTTTCTTTGTTTTTCTTCGAACTTTTCTTTCATTCTCTCAGGATCAACAACTTTTGGCTGAAGTTGATTTGGGGTAGTTGGTAAGTGCGAACGCAAACGTCCGCTCATCAAGATTTGTGCTGGTGAAGCCACGTTACCAATGGGTGTGTTGCAATACTCCAACAAACTTAGGTACGGATCTTTTCCATCTTGTTTTGCTTTCGATAGATAAAGTTTCACGATTTGAACTGCTTTCTCAGCCAAACCGTTTGATTTCGGATAATATGGACTTGAAGTCTGGTGCTCGAAATTCCACTTTTGCGCGAACTGCTTGTACTCCGTGGCAGTGTACTGAGGACCATTGTCACTTCTTACGACTGATGGAATTCCATGTCTTGCAAATATGGACTTCATATGATTCACAACAGTTCTGCTGGTGGTGTTTTCCAACTTGACTACTTCAATATAACGCGAATAATAATCTGCCACAACCAGATAGTTGTTCTGTTCCCACTGAAACAAATCAGTTGCGACCATTTCCCAGGGTCTCGATGGTATTGTTCCTTGCACCATGGGTTCTTTGGGATTCGACATCTGGTATTCTTGGCAGGTTTGGCATTTGGATACAACAGCTTCAATTTGCTCATTCATTCTTGGCCAAAACATAATGTCCCTTGCTCGTCGTTTGGATTTCTCTATGCCCATGTGACTCTCGTGTATTCTTTCTAGCATCTTTCCTCTCATACTGAGGGGTATGATAATCTTGTCTTGCTTCAACAAGATTCCATCTACTTCTGAAAGCGCGTCACGATAATTCCAGTAGTCCTGGATTTCGCAAGGTGTTTGTTTTCTTGTCTCTGGCCATCCCCTTCGGATTGTTGAGAACAGGGTCTTCATGGTCTGGTCAATCGCTGTTTCTTTCTTGATTTGTTCCAGTCGTTCTTCGGATACTGGCATTCTGCTGGTTACCGTGTGCACGTAACATTCTAACTCTTCGTTCATCTTGCTACTGTCCACATCATCATCGGTAAGGTAAGCTCGAGAAAGTGTATCCGCGATGATCATTTCTTTCCCAGGTCTGTATTTCAATGTAAAGTCGTACCGTTGCAACCGTAATAGCATTCTCTGCAGACGAGGTGGCGCTGACGTTAACGACTTCTTCACAATTGAGACCAGCGGTTTATGATCAGTTTCAACTTCTACAGCTCTGGCATATGTGTACTGGTTGAACTTCTCGAACGCAAAAACAACTGCCAATAGTTCTTTTTCGATCTGCGCATACCGAGTTTCCGCATCTGTCAGGGCTCTCGAAGCAAACGCGACTGGTTTGTCATCTTGAAGTAACGCTGCTCCCAAACCGCTCTTTGAAGCATCACACGTCACCGTCACAGGTTTCTTCACATCATAGTATGCAAGAACTGGCGCCTTTGTTAGTATTTCTTTTACTTCTTGGAACGCTTTCTCCTGTGCACCTCCCCATTGAAACTCCACGCCACTTTTCATAACCTCTCTAATCGGCTGCATTATCGTGGACATGTTAGGTATAAACTTTGCTAGATAGTTCACTGTACCAAGCAATCGTTCAGCTCCTTTCTTATCTTCGGGAGGGGGCATCTGCTTAATGGCTTTAACCTTCTGCTCATCCGGTTTCACACCTTCTCGGGTTAACTTGTGACCGATATAAGTGACTTCTTTCACTCGAAACTCGCATTTCTCTTTGTTGAGAGTGAGGTTGATCTCTTCACATCGTTGTAGGGTATTCATCAGACGTTCGTCGTGCTCTTCGACTGTGGCTCCCCAAACCAAAATATCATCCACATCTGTTTCCACGCCCTCGAGATCTCCAAAGGATTGACACATTCGTTTCTGGAATACTTCTTGCGCAGACTTGATTCCAAATGGCATCCTTTTATAACAGTAACGGCCAAATGGTGTGTTGAATGTGGTCAGCAATCGGCTCTCTTCATCTAGTGGTATTTGCCAATAGCCATGATTTGCGTCCAGTTTGGAGAATACTCTGGCTCCGGCCACACGCGTCGTGATTTCCTCTATTGTTGGCATCTTGAAGTGTTCTCGCTTGATAGCTTCATTGAGTGGTCTTGGATCAAGACAAATTCGTAGTTTGTCACTGTTTGGCTTCTCTATAATCACTGTCGAATTCACCCACTCGGTTGGACCATCGACTTTCTCCACGACTCCCTTTTCTTCCATATCGTCTAGCGAAGACCTCAGCCTCTCTCTGAGCGCAACTGGTGTACTTCTTAAAGGACTGACGACAGGTATAATCGTAGGGTCGACTTCGATGTGGTATGGATTCTTTAGGCATCCCAAACCTTGAAATACTTTAGGAAATTTCTCATGAATGGTTTCTGCTGATTGACCAATCACATTGTTCACATTCATGATGATTTTGATCAGATTCAGTTCTTGAGAAGCTTTCAAACCAATGATGGGAACTTGTCCAGTTTTCACCACGAAAAATTTCAATGTCTTGTTGTTACATTTCAGATTGCATTCTCCGACGACCGGTAGATAATCGCCAGTGTAACTTGTTAACTTTGCTGTTGGTCTTTCTAACCGGGTTTGTTTCAGCTTCATCTTCTCGAATGTAGGTAGGGGTATTATATTGGCTTGTGATCCCGTGTCAATCTTGAACTTGATCTCATTTCCCTCGATTAATAAAGTTTTGAAAACATTCTCTTCATTATGAATTGAATTAACCGCTCCAATAAACAACGGTTCGTCATCTGTACTCGCTTTGTCTACTGCATGTATTTTCTTTGACTTGCAGAATTTAGCGAAATGATTCTTTTTGTCACACTTAAAACATTTCTTGCCAAAAGCTGGGCATTGTTTCGCAGGATGAGACTTTCCGCACTTTCCGCAACACGATACTTGTTCTTGTTTGTTGCCGCCGTTATGCTTGAAATCACGCCTTCGATTTGCATCTAATTTGCTACGATAATTTCCTGATTTGTTATGTTTTCCTATGGCCTTGACGCTCTGAACGTCGTTTAGTACTTTTAGTTGTTCCTCAGACTGTTCGTTTATTTGAGATACTTCTAACGCTTTATCTAACGTTAACTCTCGTTCTCGTAATAACCGTTCTCTCACACGCTCCGATTTTATTCCGTAAACAACGCGGTCCCTAATCAACTCGTCCTCAAGAGATCCGAAGTTGCAATTCTTAGCGAGCAATTTAAGTTCAGTTACGTACTGATCGGCTGTTTCGTCGTCTCTTTGCACTCGCGTATTAAACTTGTATCTTTCCATAATCGTGTTTCTTCTGGGTTCACAATACTCGTCAAACTTCGCGAATAACACGTCGATTTTGTCCGTTTGAGCCTCTGTAAACTTCATTGTGTTATAAATGTCTCGCCCGTCTTGTCCGATTACATACCGGAACGCCGCACATTGTTCTTTCTCGCTGGCTTTAGACATGTTTAATCCAAGATATAACTGCATAGTTTCCTTCCATCGTCTCCATCTTCATCTTCAGACAACTGTTCAGTTGTTGAAAAGTTCATCTCTAAAGGAGGCTTCATAAACGGCTCCATCCTGACACCATGTTATGTTATTAGTCTGTTTATTATGTTACAAACACAACCCTTATATACATGAATCTAATTAACATGCACATATACTGAATATATTACACCGGGTTCCTCTGTTGCGGACGCCATCGAATTTTTGAGTGTATCAATGAAATTAAATCAATTCCAAAATTCAGATGGTACAGTAAAGTTTATCAGAATGATTGACCGACTCTTCGACATGCTTAATTCGCAAAATCCGTTGGGGAAAGGGTGTAAAAAACCACTTCGTCCATCATCCAAGGATACTTGGGAAGAAATCCTACGATCAACAGCATCGTACTTGCTTGGCCTCAAGACCAATACAGATGTTAAGCAACCGCTGTCAAAACATCCACGCAAAACATTTGTGATTGGTTTTGTTGCATCAATTAAGTCAACAATCGAAATGGCAAATGAAATGTTCACAAGTACTATCAATCCATTCAAGTATTTACTGACATAAAAATACTCGCAAGATCACATTGAACTATTGTTTGCCTGCATTCGAGCAAGAGGTGGTTGGAACAACAATCCAAACTGCTTGCAATTTAAATACGCCACGCGAAAGATGTTGCTCAGGAACGCTATAACAGCTTCCAAAAATGCAAATTGCCAAAGTTTTCCAGGTGTTGCATCTCATAGCATAATACCATTTTTCCATACAAGGAAGCATAAAGCACCACTAAATAATCTGGTCGAAGCAGATGCAAATACCACAGGCAAAGTCCACAGTGCACCACAGGGGAATACACCAGAAGAGATCATGATGCTCGAACATTTAAACACAACAACAACATCAGAATTTCTGGCCAATGTCCTCTTTTACATTGGAGGTTTTATTGTGTCCAAACTTGTTCAAGAGCTTGAATGTCCATTTTGCAAAAGCTGTCTTCTTTCCTGTTTTTCCACACCAACTCCTGACCACGACTACTGTGCAATGGGGTACAATGAAGTAAGCACAACTTCTGTTTTTACATTGTTCATCAATAAAAGTGGTCTGCGAATCCCTTCACAGTCAGTCTACCAAGTTGTTGAGTTTTCTGAAAAAGTATTTAAAGCATATGTATGTAAGGAAGGTCGAACCATCACAAGGGAGAAAAAATTAAAGCAGAGAATGATCATGGAGGTATGTCAACACTTTGTCATGGATTCAAAGCAATTGTTCGACGATCACCAGGAAGGAGCCAACGAGAATGTGTTCGAGGACGACCATCGCACATTACTCATCAAACTTACTGCAGACAAGTACTTTACACTAAGACTATTCACCTACAGCAAACGCTACAACGAAACGGTTGTCACCGAAGGGAAGCCAAGCAACAGACACAAACTTACCAAGTTAATCTTGTTCAGAAACGTACCAGTGAAATCGTGAGTAAATATTATATTTCGATATATTGGTGTGTCAAGTATAGTATATAAGTGAAAAGCAGTAATATTAACAAGGAATAATATAACAAAAATTTTACATCCTTGTATATTAAAAAGTCCCAAGATCCAAGTTCATACAGCGACGCAGCGATGTACAATTTTTCAGCTGTTCTCAAGCCATCTTCGTTTTAATTCATATTGTATTGCTTCTTTGATCTTTATTTTACGATTTAATTCAGTTTTTACGATGATATTTTGCTCTTATCGGCATTATAATTTCAATCAAAACGAGTTTCAAAAGCTGTATCCAATGACCATGCCCATGCCGTTTGCAATCGAATTCTGAATCTTATAGAATCTCAATCACAGACTCGCTTTGATGCTGAACCACTCACAGCGCGCAATACTTCTGCGGGCGCCAAATTTTGCTGCAGCAAAGCACAGGGATTTTGTGTGGAAAATATCGATTAAATCCAAGATTTATTCATGTTTTAGTGTGGTTAAAAGGCTGAAAACACAAACATCGATACTATACTTCAATACAAAACAGATATACGACCGTCGATATGTTTTAAAGTGTTGTTTATGGTTGAAAAACAAGGTTTGCTTCAGCACGCTCAACTTCTGTCGTTTTAATTTAACTGAAAGTTATAATCTTCAAACTTTTGCAGTTATTTAAAGCAAAACAGTTTAATCTATCCAGTAAATCGGATTTCGGTCTAAGTTTTTTCATTTTAGACATTACCGCCCAAAACAAAATTTTGACTGAATTTTTCCCACTCCTCGCAAGTCTTTTTATAAAAGAGCTTTCCCTGCACGGTTTGCTTCAATTTGGCTTCACCCAATCATAGGGCTTAATCATAGGAGTTATCCTTCCAGTCTTATTACAGTTCACTGGCTCCCACACACACACACTCACAGCACACTGGTACCCACACACCTCCATTTCCTATACCACTGCAATATTAAAGTACAGCATGCTGCATGGATGTTTTTACAGTATCTCCATTAATTAACACACCAAATTTTCATAGAGGAAATTGTAAGAATAAATCAATATTTATCAATGACACAATATTCTTTATTTTCTTTCTCTGAGTTGATGCAATTTCTTTCTCTAAATTGATGCTGTAGCTGTCAATGCCAAGATTGGAACACCTGGAAACAAACTTCCCGACATACCAATCCTTCCATAGCAAGGCCTGAAATCCTTCCTAAAATAGTAATACAATGTTTAAAAATTAAAACAAACTTTAGCCAAAACTTTTAGGCCAATCATCAGTTTAACAGCAACATGGATAATTTTATGATTGAAAATGGCTGGCAAGAAAATATATATTTCAAGTCATATAGTGTGCTGTATTTTACTGTACATGACACTAGCTCACAGTGTGCAGTCACATATAATACCTTGCAGGTAGTTGTATATCCTACAAACGATTGTTATCTGGGGATACTAAGATTAAGGTTTTTGCAAATAATATTTCAGTCGCACTTGACAGTCTTAACCCAGCTAGCACATAACATTATTACAACGTTGGTAAAAGGTTGTTGCAAAGTTAGATCTAACTTAACTTTCACACGATGTTCACACAACATTACTTTTCTATCCAGAATAAGAGCACGTGGTGTAAACGTTGGTTTAACGTTGAAATTTAACGTTCCAGGATGTCATGCGACACATTCTTAGCAATGTTAGATTTCAACGTTGTAGCAACGTTAATGTGTAACGTTTGGATGTGACATTAAAACAACGTCGTCCTGACGTTAAGATTTGATATTTTCGCAACGTTCCAGGATGTCATACGATATCTTCATGGCAATGTTAGATTTTAACGTTGTAGCAAGCAACGTTAATGTGTAACGTTTGGATATGACATCAAAACAACATCGTAAACAACGTCGTCTTGACGTTAAGATTTCATATTTTCACAACGTTCTAAAAAAATTAAACATATATATGTCTTCTATTATTGAACCTGACAGTTAAACTATAGGTATAAAACCGCATCAGGCCATATGACTTCGTATGCCTATTCAGCTGCAGGAATTTTTGTCCTGAAAACGTTTTATCCAACTGATTTTAAGCCAGACAGTAGGCCTTTGCATTTGGCAGCTTATCAACAACTCACCAAATATGGTAATTCTGATCATATATACGTAAAGTGTTTGCGCCGCAGGCAAATTGAAAAGATTACACCATTGTTCTTGGCTTGCAATGCAACTGAAATGTATGCTGACTCTGTAATCTCATCGAAGCTGCTGTATATTTCAGAAGAACTCGTTCGTTTTGTTTTCGATGTAAGTATATATATTGTATCTGTAACATTTGAAACTTCCATGTGTCTATCTCATGTACGGAAAAAAGGCGAACAAAATATATTTATTTTGATATGTGTCTGCATGTTTGTTTGACGCCATATTAATTTACATTTTACAGCAACATAGGTGCATTTTCTCTGTGCATGCGCGAGAACCGTTCCGTGCGATTGTAAATGGCGGACTTCTAAGGGTTCGTGAGTTTTGTCATGGTTTTTATCAAAAATATGGACTGAATTTTTGTTCGATCTCTCAGAATTCGTGTTAATTCTACGAAGGTAAGGGTATTAGTTTTATTACGGTTTAATTTCCTCCAAAATTCATGGTCTTTCGTTTAAATTTTCATCATTTGCTTGACGCGATGCTTGCCTTTATAGTCCCCATTTCTATAGTCAGTTGAGCTTTAATATGTAGGTTACTCGCTCGTTTGGTGTGTTTTCTTGTTTTAAATTGGTTTATAATCTTTCTATGTTTGGATATTCTTGAATAGCATAAGTAATTAACGAAAATAATGAAAATCTACTGCCATAATTTTGGGATCAATATGGTTCTGTGCATTTGGTTGAATAGAGATCTTGTACCAAACCCTATACCATTGCTTTAGGTTGAAATTTTCCCAAATAATATATTTTCCTGCCAAACTTTTTTTGCTACTTTCTCATACAGGTTGTATTAAATGTTAAAAATGTAGCAAATCCCTGATCCCTGTTATTTGCAAATATATTGATGCAATACAGGATCTGTGAGAAGAACCCAAATTCCAAAATATATAACAAACTTCTTTTTGTGTGTGGTGATAAAAAAATCAGAAGTGAGTCATACAAACTTCCCCATATTTTTTCCACAAATTAGATCAGGTGTTGCGATGGAAAGGATGTCAAGTTTGACGGCAAAAAAATTTGGAAAAGGGTACTTTTAGCACAGTTATGTCCTCAGCCCATGCTCCAAACATATATGGGACTAGCTACCTGACAGTAAGTTGTAAAAATATTTTTTATTAGGTATTGGTGAGATTTCAGTGATAATTTTTGGTTGTAGAGCAAGGTGATATTCCATTTTGTTAAGTGTACAGGATTAATGTTCTGGTGAGGTATTTATCTGAACAAAAATATCGTTAACGATTACCATTTCTGGTCTCAAATGCTAAATTATGGGGTTTAATTGACCTTCAAGGTTAATAAATAGAAATTCTGAAAAATCTGTACATACAAACTTCACTAAAACAGTATATGTTCTTCCTAATCATCTGTCTCACAGCTTAAAAGTGTTTGATCATCTGGAAAAATTTGGAAAAGTACTCATTTTTAGCATCGTATAGATGGGTTGCACTAAGCCTAATACTGTACATAGGGAAACACTTGGTGGTGAACTTTACATGTATTGATGCTTTATGTTTTGTGGAAGCAAGCAAGCAAAATTTTGCCAAATTGCATACATTTGCCAAACACAAAGTCAATTACACATATAATGAAAAATTAATTTGCTCTGGTGTTTCTTGTTGGCATTGACCACCAAGTGCTAAATGTACCATGTGACTGAAATCCAGCTATATGTAAATTAGATATACATCAGAATATTCATACCCAACTTATTGGGTAGAGTCTAAGATAATCTCAGACAGATTTGAAAATTCAAACGATTTAACATTCCAGTCTCGTAGCAGCATGGTTTGTACGGCCAAACAAAACAAGTCTAACTGGTCGACATTCCCCACTATAATGGTGGCTCCTTTCTTCTGATGTTGATGGCTATCAATCAGGCAGGCATGCTCCTTATCTTGAATCAATGCTATCGATTTATCGGGTGGTATGATCAAGACGTGGGCTGTCCGTTTTTTCAGTTCCATTTATTGCACTTCGTAATTCTTGTGACAACATTTGGTAGTTGCTCACAGCAGCAAATGGCTTTTCTTTCAGAGGAAAACTAAGGGTGTCAAGAACATCATCTATTGCCAAGTTTGGATTATGTGATGGTGGGTTGATAATGCTGTAAAGTGTATTGCCTTCAATCATAACTTCCCGTAGCTTTGGTAGAATGGAAAGTACACTATCATTGTCATGCTTTGGTATACTTAAGTTTCCTTGCAAGAAACTTAGCACAGTTAGTAGAGCTATTACAGTGCAAGCATTGCTGGTCAAACCATTTGGACTCAAACTATACTGACACAATTCCTTGGGTAGAATGAACTCAGTTGCCGTCGCGTTATGCTTGATCATTTGCACATTATGAGAACTGTTTGTCTTATCTGGTGTTAACACAGTCCCCTTGTGCCATTCACATTGGCATTTCTGATTCTTGCTGGCTGGTGAACACTTCTTATTTTCACACATTGGGCATGTCTTACTTGCTTGTATTGTGCAATGGCCTTTTATGGGATGTCCACAGGTTTTACAATGTGGTGGACAGGAGTGCTTAGGAACAGGCAAATTTGTAGAGACTTGTTGGTGTTGAATTAGAGTAGGAACTGGAATTGTAAGACTGGAAATACCTTCCTTAATCCCTTCTATTTTAGCTGCCAATTCTTCATTTCTTTCCTCATGAATCTTGGGTGGTTTATCTGGTGTATTATTTTCAGGATTTTCCAGGTCTACTTCAGCATTATCCTGGCCATTGAATATTGCATTTTGTGCACTAGTTCACAACTGTTGAACGACTTGTTGAAGGTATCCACGGCAAATAGGGCAATGATCTATGTCTCCAAGGCAGTTGACGTGGAATGAGTGAAAGCAACCATAAAATCTTTTCCATTCCAGGTCTTCACTTTGGTGTGGGCAAGCTGGCATATCACAACAAAGACATGGATTTGGAGGCTTGTTGGTATGAAAACCCAATGGTAAACATTTTATGTTGTCTGAGTTTAACTGCATGTCTGTTGATATTTCTTTAGCACTGTCCGTATTTCTTGTTTTCTTTAAAACATCACCAATGATTTCTGCAGCTTTAACTTTGAGGGACTTTAAAACTTTTCTTGTGAATGTAAATGACTTGGGTGGTGTGAATACTGACTTAAAGTTTTTCACTTCTGCTTTTGAAGTAAACATCATCTTAGCTTTTTTTGAGATTGTTGTGCAATCATCAGCTGATTGTGTATTTGCCTGTATTATTGAGTGTGCATTCTCTACAGGGTATTCATCTGTGCAAGCAATATTATCTTCAAATGTTTGGTGCAGCTCAGGGTAGTGTTGGGACCAATATCCAATATGCGATATCCATACAAGTGGGGCTTTATCATAGTGTTTCCTGTGAAAGCAGTGAAACATTGTCCAAATGCGAACTACAGCTTTCAAATATTGTCCAAATTGATTCAGTTTAAAGGAAATTCCATATATCATTAGGTTAAACAAAATAGCATATTGGAGTTGTTTGCATTTGCTGAATAACACAACAACAGTGCTTCTAATGAGTGTCCATCCTCCATAAATTATTTCGAGAAGAAGCGTGATTCTCCATGGTTTTGGTTTACCTGCTAAAACACATCCACGAAACAATCGCTTGTATATGTACTTCATCAGAGGATGATAAAGTTCACATATGTCTTCTCTTGCATTCAGGGAAATATGAAGGGGTCCAATTAATGGTACAATAGAATCCATTTCTTTCTTCCAGGTTGTGAATGTGGAATCACTGAGAGGCATACGTAATGAGTAATCATGGTGATCGCATGTTCTTGTGTTCATGAGTGGGTTTTCAGGTTGCTGCAACTTGCCATTGGGGTATACAGACTTATACACAGCCTGTCTGATGTAAAATTGTGCTGGCCAATCTCCAGGTACAAGAAGTAAATACTTTTGCATGTACTGCTTCAAACTGCTCTTAGTGACCCATGTCAGAGCTGTTTCAAAGTTACTTAAGCTTTTAAGTGGGAGTTCATTCATCTCCAGCAATTGAACATTGTCCATGCTTCGAAGATCTCTAATGTCTTCTGAGTTTGCATAATCATGGGAGATGTAACCTTGATCTCTCATTCTCTGGATCAAAAAATCTTTGCCTAGCCCAAGCTGGCATAATGGTGGCAAATGTTTGACAAAGCATTTCCATACTGGATTGGCTGCATATAAGGGCACTACATATATCAGCAGATATCCCATTTGGGTTGTGGACATCTTCCATTTTTGTAGGCAATTTTATTGCTTTAATCTTAGGGAAAATCTTAATAATTATGGTGCACATGTGCTTTGCTTCAGATAGTTTCTCAGTACTTGGCCTTTGCAATCCATGGATGCAGTGGTAGTCATCAATAACACAAACAAGTGACTGTTGTCTGATGGCTTTTTCAATCTCAGAATTCAAATGTTCTATATGGGCTTTCCCAATGTTTTGTCTCATATAATAACTTTTCCTACTGCTACATGAATTCCCCAAGCATCGTTCAGTGTCCAGTGCCTCTTTATTTAAATTTTTCAACATGAAATACCTTGTTTGATCCTGTTGTAAGTAATTGTTCTGCTGGCTTAAGGCAAAGCACAGTGTGTAGATGATATTGACAGCTATTTTTTTGTTTTTCTCTTTTCGATTTTCAGATTTTCTTGGTGTTAATACAGATTGGAGGATATTATCAAAAATTGTTGTGGCACCAGAGGAAATACAGAACTGCTGGAACTGATCAGGGTTGTAAAAACAAGGCTGGTTGTTTTTTTGGAAAACCTGGAACATGTGCTTGCTTAACAGTTGCAGTTCAGCTTGCAAATCGGTTCCTGAAAGACACACTTGACTTATTAGTACTTTATACAAAAAATTGATGAAAACTAACACTACAGTACTGTCTACAGTAGTCAGGCCATATGTGAAAGTTTCACAATTCTGTTTAACCCATTGAGTGGCAGCACTCTCCCCTTGATGATTAAAATCGTCTGGCACTAGACAGAGTAAAATAATAACGTAGGGCGCATTGCCACTTAATGGGTTAACCCATGTAGCAGCAGTGCTCCCAATTGCACCCTACTTTATACCTTTACTCTGTCCATCGGCTTGGGATTTTACTTGTTAACATGAGAGTCTTCTGGTGAAATTGGGTTAACAGGTCTAGTACTCACTTTATTTTAGTTCATTTACAGTTGCCTCTAATTCCTTTATCCATTTGCTTTCATCCATATCTTCACTCTGGCTTGTCAAGTCGTCTCCACTTTTCTCATCTTCCCTGCCACTCCTATCTTCTTCAGACTCTGATAACCATAAAATCTTTCTTTTCGTCGGCCTACCAGTTCCCACCAGATTATACTCGTCTACTTTCTAGTTAGAACAAATAGCATAATTCCATAAAATCAGGTACTTGTCGTTAAAACAGTAACATCGATAAATTATATTTATTATTTATTTGCAGTACTGATAGAGTTTTGTGTGTAGTTAATAGTTATTATTCCTATAGCTATGGTGAGTTTTTGAGCCTGACGTTTTAATCATAATAGATTTTCTCTTGCTACAAGAGCAGTAAATTTTTGTGTATGGTAGAACTACAGTAGAAGTACATGTAAAATAAAAACACAGCTTACTTCGAAACTTTAGACATTTTTGTAAGGGAAAGAAAACAAGTAGAAATCTGTACAAAGTAGGCTTAGCATTTGAGAAATTTCCTTCGTTTTTCCCCATTTTTTTAATGGCCATGTAACATGCTCAGCACATGAAACCACTTTGCTTGTCTGGTGAACGAATCCCAAAAACTGCCGTAAACAAATGCTCACAATTTTCCGACGGAAAAAATATTTTTTCCTCGAAACCTTCTTACAAATACAACAGCCTTTTTTGCTATAAACTACCGCATTGCAACTCGTTAAAAAAAGTAAACACACAAGTAAAAAAACGAGTAAAATAGCTTTTTTAGAAACTGTTTTAATATGCACTCAGAGTAACATCGCAAACATATTATTCACCTGAGTACACAACACCAACACAGGAAAAAAAAATTCTGTTTTAATTGCCGACATTTTTTTAAAGGGAAAAGCATTCGAATTTTCCCGGGTAAAAGTGCTGGCCGTGTGTTATTGTGTAGCAAGGAACTGGGACCGAATAAGAACCCTGCGCATGCGCAGACAAAATGCACCTATGTTTTTTACAGCGCCTCTCTTGAATCGAAGATATATTTCAGAAGTACTTGTTCATTTGTCAATGAAATCCAAGAATGACTAAATAGTATACTGTATTAAATATTGAACTGTCTGTGCCAGTGTAGGTGGGGATGCAACTATCTCAAACTACATGTAACGAGAACAAGAAGAATTACGACGTTTCGAGCGAAGGCCCTTCGTAGCAACGTATTTACTCTGGAGGGTCTTCACTCGAAACATCGAAATTTTCCTTATATTGTTCAGGTAATTCTGTAATTTAAACTACAGACTGTGATTCAAGCACAGTATTACGTACTAGAAAAAGTTCTGTCATATAAGATTGTTCAGGTAGTTGCATCCCTACCAACAAAAGCTTGTTCATATACTATACTGAATTAAATAATATAATAATAATAGTGGGTTTATTAATACACGTTCAATAGCAAGCTAAATTACAACGTGTTTACATCGTCAGATATTAATTAGAATTATTACTTATTTAAAACTATTTACATCAATGGACCTATATGTATATTAAAATCGTTTATATATATATATATATATGGAATTGTATAAAAATGTATATAAATCTTACTTTTCTAATTTAAAATTATATTCATTAATAGCATGAACTACAGGGCTGTTTCTAAAACGTTCAGTGTTGCAAAAAAAGTTATAAATCTTTTTACCATTTGTCCTAGTCTCTCTTTCCCTGATGTCACTCAGTTTCTTTGGCAATAGTCCGTGAAGTCTGTGTGATGGTTGTAACATGTTCTCAATTAAGGAGGCACATAAATTGTTTCTGCGTTCTTCTAAGGTCAGCAGATTGCTCTGAGATAATAGAAGTCCATAATCACAAAGGCCAGGATTTTTGGATTCTTTCTATGTTTTTCTTATGCATTTGTGTCAGACCACCACTCCAGATTTGTGCACCATACTCCAGAACAGAACGAATTACTGTACAATAGAAAGCTAATAGGTCATTTTTTGGTGCACCATAACTCTTTAAGATCTTCAAAAGGTAAAGTCGCTTAGCGCCTTTTTTTACAATATACTCAGTGTTGGTTTTCCATCTCATGTCATCGTCTATCCATATTCCTAACAATTTATACGACTTTACACGGGATATTTTATCGTCGCCAATATTAATCAGTGGTATTTCTGTTTTCTTCTTCCGAAAATCAATTAGCATTTCTTTACATTTTTTCCATTCAGTTCCATACTCTCATCCTTTGCAAATTGCACTACGTTATTTACACTTCGTTGGGTGTTACCAATTGGGCTACCAGATGAGTGTTGAGTTATGGTAATGACTTCGGACAATGTACTATCATCAACGAACATAGCTATATCTTGATCATCAGATGCTTCACATATCTGTTCCTGCTCATTAGGTATAGCGACTTGTGGGAGATGGTTAATTTTTAGGATAAATGCTATTGAACCCTTACCATATATTACGTTTGACAGCGTTGTGAACAAGCTAAGCAGCCTTCAAGTAAACAAAGCAGTGTCCCTTTGACCCTAACACAAAGATAATCAAGCTATTTGCAAAATACTTTGCAGGGCCTCTAACACACATATTTAATGAGTCCTTTTCTTGTCGGCTCTTCCCGGATATATGGAAAGTATCCAAGGTGTGTGGAATACCAAAGATCAAGCCTTGCTGTTCAGTAGATCTTCTGAGACCAATTGCACTAACAAGTACCTTGTCCAAAGTCCAAGACTCATAGAGCCAAATGGATTTATGAAGATGTTCGGGAAAAAATTAGTGAATTCCAGTTTGGCGGCCTTCCTGGTACATCTGCAGTTCAAGCCTTGATCTACTTACTGCATAAATGGCACTCGGCAATGCACACTCCAGGAAAGGTCATTAGAATTGTTTTTCTTGATTGTCGGAAGGCGTTTGATCTTGTAGATCACAACAAGCTTCTTGAGACCTTCACTGGAATCGGTGTACGGCCCGCATTAGTGGGTTGGTTTGCGTCCTATCTACATGGCAGATCGCAATTTACATCATTTCAAGGTGAGCAATCAGACCTGCGAAAGATCAGGGGTCGAGTCCCACAGGGTAGCAAGCTGGGTCCATAGGGTCCAACATGAAGCCATTCACTTCTTACTTCTGAAAAGTCGTTAGTGAGGTTAGTAAAAAAATCGTTCATGTGACAAGCGGTCTCTTTCGGGTTTAATGGAGCCTCAGTTGCAGGATTAATGAGAGTAAAGCCTTGTTGTTTCTTTCCAACTATTTTTTTAATGTTTTTCCATCATGTTTTGGGATCTTGGACACGGGCAGGTTTAATCTTTTCGTGGTATAGTTTGTGTTTTTCCTTTCGAATTTCCAAAACGATTTTATTACGCAATGATTTAAAATCGTCAGTTCTTCCCCGCTGATACAATTTGTCTCTTTTGGAAATCATGTTGGTTAATTTTTCCAGATATAAACAGTTTATCGTCCTCATGCACTTTAAATGTTTTCAACGGGAAAACAGTATCAATCATCTCTGATGTAACAGACAGAAAGGCATCTACTTTGCCATTTATGCAAGGAGAGTTATATACCATTGGCCAGTTTTGCTGGCTGATAAGATCTTCAAATAACTGAAGACTGGAGTTCTTTATCGATCGAGTAATGATTTTCCTTGTTATGTTCTTATTCACTGTTCGAACTCTTGGTCTCCAAACGATCATGCAGTGGTCAGAACTACCAAGCGGGGCAAGCACCTCCGGTTCCTCATATAAAGTGTGAGCATTGCTAAATATAAGATCAAGAATTGCTGTTCCCCTTGTTGGTTTCTTCACCACCTGCTTTAATCGGCAGTTGTTCGTAATTATCTTCTCCTGAAAACCGTTGCTCACAGAATTGAAATCCCCAGCAACAACAATTGATAGATTCGGACTTTCACTTGTAAGCGCATCGTAGCAGCTGCAGAAATAGTCGTAAAATTCCTCAATAGCTCCAGAATTTAGCGAGGGGGGTAAATAAACGCATGCCAAGGCAATTTTTGAGATTGATCTGGGGAGCCATTTTGGACGTAGTATGATCCATAAACATTCATAGTCCGGACAAGTAAAATCATGGCGGATTTTAAACGGGATCGTATCCTTAACGAAGACAGCCACACCACCACCTCTCATATTAACCCTGTCATTCCTTATTACACTGAAGCATACTGCCCGGAAAAAGTAGTGCTTCGTCTGGGATAACATCGGAAAGCCAAGTTTCGGACACCATTACTATGTCTGATTTTTGATTGTGAATAACAAGAGCCAGTTCGTCAGTTTTTGTTAAAATAGATCTCGCATTAAGAGACAAGATATTAGGTAACACTTGTTTAGTCTTAACTGATTTAAGTCTAGGAATTCGAATCAGATTACTGCAGTTCCTGTTTACCGAAGAGCGCTCTCTACAATAGTTTCGTGGGGTAATTCTAACAGGGATTTGAGCCATCATTATACATATGTTGAAAATTTCTTTGACCACATGGGTTGTGTTTCTTTCTTTTGCCACGGTTTGCATATGACAAACTCAGGCCAAAAGTTTTCTTCAAGTATGGATGTGCATGCGGTTGCAGGAATATGAATTTTTGCCGATAGTGTTCCTTTACGTCTACTTCGGAATATGGATACATAAGCAGGAGTTATGTTTCTTTTGATGAGATATGAGTGAATTTGACTTTCTTTTACATTATCCGCTATTCCAGATAAGAAAAATTTCTTATACCTTTTGCGCCTACGTTCGACTCCAATGAACCCATCATTTTCAATTTTATTAGAATGTGGCAATTCATTAGATTTTGGTTGAGCATTTATTTCATCAGTCTTCCTGATCGGCTTTTCCGACATATCTGAGGAATCTAAATGAGTCTTTACTGCATTTGCATGGGAAGATTGCGTATTATCAGTGGTTAGATCAATTATTGAATGCAAATGGCACTTATTTCCGCACTTTGATTACATAAAAGAGGGCTTTGATGAAAATGTGCTTCGTGTCTTGAAAAGCTGTTTAGTATATTCTATTCAGCATGTAAATTACTGCCTAATATTTTATAATCTCACTGTGTGCCTTATAGCATTGTCTTTGTGCGTGAATGCCTTATTCTGTGTTCGCCTCGTAGATTAGGCGCTTATGTTTCTAGTGTTAGTAACTGTGCACATGGTCTAAACATCATCATTTGTCTAAACTGGGCCAGCAAAATATGCGGTTGTATAGATTTCGTGAACGTGAATATTAAACTTGGCCGTATTAAAAGCTTTTGTTGTGCTCTCGTGGCATTTGAAGTGAGTTGAACCTGAAACAATTTCCGGCGTGTGATAAATCATATTCCAGAGAGTGAATCTGCCCCAGGACAGAGATAATTTTCACGCTCAACATGCGTTGAGGCCTCTGTCAGAAGGCAACAAGGTTATATAAATTGGAAGGAATTCCGCACGCAGAAAACGTTTCTAAACTCGATATATTTCTGCGTGCATTTATCATGCTGATGAGTACATCCGGTTTGTGCGCACAGAGATTTACTAAGATGATTGTTGTATATGGCGGCAACTAATCTGTTTTTATTTCACAATTATAGGTGTTGTATGAGTTTGAAAATTTCCAACTGAAATGAACCACCTGTGTTACCACGTTTCAAAAACAAAGTTTTCCGACTGGTAAGTAAAATATTGTAATGTGAGATTTTTTAACTATTCAATTAACTGTGAATGCAGAAAACGTTTTTATTTGTGTGTGAGTCGTGTTTACATCACAACAAGATAAGTCAATCTTCATATAAAAGTTGTTGTCCTTCTAGTTCTACCAAATGTCCGAGATACATGGCCAAAACTTCTGCTAACTTGACAACTCAGCTAAAAAACTGCACTGTACACGAAGGCCCACAATCACTGATAATATTCAGTGCGGCATTTTTTAAATTAAGACAAATTTTAGTCCATTGGTGTGTATATAAATTTGTAACGATGATCGATTTTACTCATACAAGTGTGACTATGACTATAAAGGCTATATATGTTAATCACACATTACGCACATACTTGATAGATCTTCTGCAATCACTTTCCCAAACATGGCTGAGTCCACCAAATTAGACACAAATAAAATGGATGTTGCTGAATCTGGTGACTTCTTCTCTTGACAGACTTGCAAGGAAAAAATGTCTCCAACCTGTTCCATCTCTTTGACAAGTTTTCACTTGTCTCATCTGAGAATATGACAATTGGAAGTGTCAGAATGAATCCAATAGAATGGATGGCCTTCTCCATATGCCTGTTGTTAGAGACAATTATTTAATATAACTGGAAACATATGGTAAAAAAATTATGTAAGTTTCAATAGCAACCTTATTTAATGGTGACATGTCTTCTAAGCCATCTATTTTGAAGGACAAAACAGAATCAAGAGGTGGTGGATTAACTCCAAATCGATCAAGCATCATCCATAGAAAGTCAAGATCTGCTTGAGACTTAAAAATAAAATACAACATCCAGTTTTTATTATTTAATATTTAGTAAATTACCTTAGTTAATTATTAACTTAGGGGTGGACTATTCAAATCTTGATAGGGTAGTCATGTCCATAAACATACTTTCTTATGACCTGGCCTTTTTATGTGTGTATGCAAGATGCATACAATACAGAGTGACATTTTATATACATTTAGCACTAAAATGACTGTCAAGCTCAAGTTGCCCATACCTTCAGCCTCATTATATTATGTGAATAACAGTATAACAGGAAAAGGATAAAATAAATTTGACTTTTCATTGTCATTGTCCTCAGCATCCATTTCAGGTTGGATTGGCAATGAAAGGAGTGTCTTGACTGTCATATTGAAAAATTAGGGGGGTTGCCATCATTTCTTGTTGGTTGCTACTTGTGATGTTAAAGGACAAAAAGGTGGAATTTCGGGAACAGTTTCAGTAGGAAAAGATCAGATAATATTCACAAGAATAACAACAACATACGTAGGAAAGTTAAGTTTTTATCCACAGCGTTCAACAGCTTGTGTAGACGCTAATATTTTGTTGTGTTATCTGCATGCACCACCTTCATGTTATTCTTTCGGTATACATGGAATTCAAAATGGCTCTAAACGAGTACATTCTGCAAGTATTTATAGAAGAAAATTCTTTCGACATAGGATAAGATATTATTAAAATAGTTTGGCTTCATTTAACCTGTGTACTTTGATTGTGGAGATATACATCCACATCCAGGAACGGAAAAAGGTAAACAAACTTTATCGGTTTTATCGACATTCATTCATTGGTATGAAATAGGTAATTGGACAAGTACTGGTGTAAGACATTGTGTAGCCTAAATAATGAGGAGTAGTTCAATTGGTTATCCTTTATTTATTTACTCCGGACTCCTGTGATGGTGAACATGTACGCAAAAAACAAGGGAAACTATGATTAGATAGTAACTGAATATGTGAATTTTATGTGACACGATGAGGGCGAGGATATATAAGAGCAAGAGATTGAATTGGAATAGGAAAGGCAACCCTGTACGCGTTTCGACCTAACAGTCTTCTTCAGCAGGATTTTTTAAAGGGGTGTAGATAGAGTTTGCAGAGTGAAACTAGAATGCAGGAGAGTTTAGGAGCACTGAACATATTATCTGTTACAATCATAATAACATTATAAAATTAGTTCAATTTTCTCGGCAGTGGGGAGAGGGGGAAATTGACCCTGTTGCTTTCCACACTGTGTACAGCCCTGTTAGATCTGTATTATGTTTGACTTTAAAATCTTATTTGCTATTATATTTATATTTCCATTGTCCCATGTCATCTTCATTATTCAGTTTCTTGCAACAAAATACAAAATGTGAATCAACTTTTTTCGCAGATACATGTATGTGTCGCGTACCTATTTTTAATATAGGCATGAGTCAATTTGACGACCAATTCCATAATCAAGTACATGTATATGTAGCAGCCTAGACATTTAGCAGTTATGTTAACAGCTCTTGATTTGTAGATCAGTTCACTTCTTGACTTTTTCACAGTATCCCAAACAGAAAGAACCAAAAACATAATTAAATTAATCGTGTTTTGGCAATTAAGAAAAATTCAAGACACATGAACAGCAGAAATATGTAGTGAAAGCTAACGCTTTTTCAAAAGAAAGACCAAAAATTTTTTAGCACATCGTATAATCGATACGGTTTGCATGCAAACAATGTCTTAAGTGTTAACAGCAGAGTTTTCTATTAAAAATACATTTTCAAGCCTGGCCTAACATTAAAAGTTTTCAATGAAAAGTTACTATTTTAGACTTTGCAAATTGCAATCTAAAAAGATTGAAAATCAAATGCATTGAAATTTTCAACGTCAATTACGACTGCATGCATAGTTGCTCAAGTTTGTTTTTGTTAACAACTTAATGGCTGTAGGTAGTTCTACAAAACTATACCATATGATCCGGATCGACTTTGTGTTTCTTGGAAAGCATAACAACATTAAGTACATTACTATACCATTGTATGCAGTAACTTTTTGATCATCTCTTTGGTTTTTGGTGGAACAACTTAATATGGTTCATTTAGTTCCTTTCTTTTCTTCTTTCTGCATAATTATATATTTTTATATTATTTCTTGTATGCAGTAAAACTTTATTAAATTAAACCAATTAAAAAAACCCCACTTTATTTATCTTTTTACCTTTAAATCCATTAGGTGCCCCTATTTATTTGGACATCCTTTCCTAATAAGAAACATGTATCTGGAACTTGATTGGCTAGTCTGACTGTCAACAATTCTTGATCACTGTACAAAAGTTGAGACAATTTGCTTTAGTTTAAGCCTTTTGCATGCTTAATTAATACCTTTACCTACTTTGCATTTTGCTGACATATGCAAATTAGGCAAAGGCATAATTGCTCAAACTGAAGCAAATGGTCTGAAATTCTGTGCAGCAATTAAACACCCAATGCATTTTTCACCCATTAATTCAAAATACGATTGAAGCTTTTAAATTTTGTGCACAAGCCATTGTTAGTGTGTTGGAAAACACCTGGTTTACAAAATTTGAGTTTGAGAATTTTTTTTCATTATTCTACATTATAAATACCCAAAGAAGCTAAATATACCAAAAACTGGATACTAATCTTAGTCGGGGAAGCCATTTTGCTTTCTAACATAAATGTTTTTGCTTAGAGATTAATACAAGAATGATGAATAAGCTGGATATTGGCTAGATAATTTTGTCAGAACAACCCACTTGCATTAGCATGAAAAATAACTTAAGAGGCTGTCTCCATAAAAACCACTGACAAACGAGCTTTAATGCCAAAAATGATTTCCTCTTGTATTTTGTCCATGAACTGTGTTTGCTTTAGTAAGATTTTAGCCAGTTTTAGAATTTCAAATTTTATTTCATTTTCGAGTTTTAGCTCATTTTAACATGTGTGGTGGCATTAGTGAAATTCGGCACCAAACGTCACCCATAAATCCTGGGTAATTCGCTCGTCATATCTCAGGAAGTTTTGCATGAAATTTAACATTTTTTTCAGAAATGCCAACAAGAACTATTCTTTATAAAACATTCCATATCAACTTAGGGCTATACAATATTATTAAGTATATTTTTTTATATTTAGCACACATAGTTTTTTGTCACTAAATTCTTCGCCATCTAGTGTGTGATTTGAATCTAAAAATTCTTGAAAGTGGCACCTATCTGAGCTTTGGGATACATTGATTGTGAAAAAGCAATCATTGAAGCTAAATAATCCACAATAAAACTTGTATGCAAAAGAAAATTGAATGAGAACAAAATGCTGAAATACGAGCAATTTGTGGGTTGTTTGTTTACCTGTCAATGTGCGGAAATCTCTTTGATGTTTGAAACAAGGCAGTTTCAAGTAGTCAATACAGCTGGCAAACTTGTGATTCATAGTCAGACACTCACAATAAATGTTCTCTTTTTTGTTAGAAGTAATTTAAGTTTTTGTGGATGCTCCTAATCCACGAACATTCAACTATTAAAATGATGTTGATATGCAAGTTTGAACTGTCTAAGAACTGACAAGCGTTCTTCAACAAGAAACGGATTTTCTTTAGGTTTTGTCTGCAAGTAGTAGCTATCCTACCTATACTAGAATCAATCCATAAACCTCAGATTTAACTTCTCGGAATTATATACAAATTCCCGATTCTTGATACGGTACCGGAAATTCGGGATAAAAAGTTGATAAAAAATGTTGATAGTTAAATACGTTAGTCGATACGATGCGCAAAATAGTGCTTGCTCAAATCACCCGACTTTCATATGATATGATACCCAAACTAATGTTTACTTTAAATCAATTCAGCGCTCTTTCACTATTTGGTAAAATATATATTCCAACAGAGATTAAGCATCTTTTATTAAACTAGTAAACCCGCCATTCGGCTAAAACTTGAAATATTTAAACAAACGCTTCTCTCAAGTGGCATCTATCCTCGTCTTGTGATATATATTCTACAAATAAACAATATAATAGTTAAAGATATAATATGAAGGGGGAAAAACAAGTTGTATGCACATGTTGATTGTATAGACTGGATATACAGAACCTATATTCAAAGAATTACGCATTTTAGATATTTTCAAAATAAATGATTACCTAACTGCTTTGTTTATGTATCGATACTATTATCTTAAAAATTTACCAGAAGCATTTGAAAATTATTTTATAACAAACAATGAAATTCATAACTACAATACAAGAAATGCAACAAAACTACACAAGTGTTGTAAAAGAACTAATTATGTCATACATACTCTTTCTAACAAAGGGGTTATAATCTATGGAATACATTAGATACAAAATTCAAAAGATTAAACTCTTACAATGTCTACAAAAGATTAATCAAACAACATGTTATTGTGAGCTAGATCTTCTTCAACTTATATGCAATGACCACAGCTATACAGCAACCGTTAATTCTATAGCGAAAATTGTGTAATCTTGTAACTGTATAATATGATATAATATCCTTCTTTTGTAAATAGTATATACTTTTAGGTCTTACTTCAATAATTACTCTTCACTGTAAATATATATGCAATTTTTTTTTTAAACCTAACTAGTGGCCTACATTAAAAAGCCTGAAAAGGTTTCCAGTAGGTCTCTAGCCCAACACCTTCAAACTACACATAGTATTTGTTACTTATTATTGTACATACACATGGGAAATAAATATATATTGATTGATTGATTGATTGATACATTCCAAACAAGAAAATTCACATCACTCACCAAGAGGCAACGCAGTTAAACCGTCAGTGAGATGTTTCCACCGGTAAGCATACCAAGCCATCCACAGGTTATTTCTAAAGATGACAGGGAATCTGGCAACGAAGAAGCCACCGGATTGTTTGATTGTCCTGAGTTGAACTGAAATTACATTTTTGAATCTCTCGAGGAGCTAGAACTTCATATCGGACTTGGGCAGCATAGTCATTTCATATATAATGAAAATGTCTATGACACTTTGAGAAGAGAATGGGCCCTCAGATACGAGACAGTTTCCACGAATCTGTCATCAGATCCCTCTATGGAATCACCGCTCCAGCAAGGAGATACCAAACTAAAAATGGGCTAAGCCTTGGCCAAACAGCTTCGCGGCAAAGTTCACTTTTCACCATTAGTCCGTCAATATTTAATGGCAAAGTTTGATTATGGAGAGAGAACGGGACAAAAATATGACGCAGTTCAAGTTGCCTTGGACATGAGGTGTGCGCAAAATGAATGTGGCGAAATGCTATTCTGCAAAGACGATTGGTTGAATAAAAATCAGATATCTAGATTTTTCTCCAGAGTTGAAAAAAAAAAAGCGAAATGGAAAGTTATCTTCAGGTGACAACTCTTTGACGGCAGATTCTCAAGAAGAGGAAATGGATGGAGAAGATAATGGTGAGGAAGGAGAGGAAAGGAGAAATCTAAGAAGCCATATCATTAGAGAAATTAATGTGACTCGTCCTATATTCTATGATTCGTACGACTTGTGTGCACTACATCGTGGAAAGAAACTTTCAGTTTTCAAGGTGATTATGCCGAAGGAAATTTGCCATCACTTCGAGTTTAAAATTACGACAAGAGACAGGAAAGACAATCTTCTCGCTACAATTCGGAAAATGATACAAAATTGCACTTGTTCCGCAGAATAACTCTACTCTAAGAATGAATAACTTATTAACAATTATTTGTCACTAATATTATTGAACTGAACGCTTCAGATTGGATTAGTGAACACCAATGTGAATGTTTTGATAATATACCAGCTGTTTTGTTATAAAAACCAACTGTACGTGGCTTTCACATTATAAGAATGTATTTTAACTTTAAAAAATGTAGAAGGGGTCTTATTTGGGGAAAATCAGAATCACATCTATATGCTGCCCACCATCGATCTCTACCCTGGCATAATGGCATTTATTCCAATAATTTGTTCTTTAATTTATTATGTTGTTTTAGGCCTGCGTGACTTCGTATGCCAGTAAAACTTCCGCTTTTCAATGTAAACAAAGAAGTTAAAAATAGTCTAACTTAATACAAGTCGCTTGTCACGATTTTCATTTGATATATCTTTAACAAGAATATATATTGTAGAATATATATCATAAGAGCGACAAGACGAGGATAGGTGTCACTTGAGAGAAGCGTTTGTTTAAATATTTCGAGTTTTAGCCGAATGGCTGGCTTATTAATTAAAGATGCTTCTCTGAGGTTTATGTAATATGGATATGATTCTAGTATAGGTGGGATAGTAGTTACTTGCAAACAAAATCTAATGAAAATCTGTTTCTTGATTCGCACTATGTAATGAAAGAGTAAAAATAAATTATCTGTTATCTGTAAGAACGCTTGGTCGGTCAGTTGGAGCATGCAGTTCAAACTTGCATATTAACAGAGGTTTATCTTGTTTGTTTTGTTTAATTAATATGTTGAATGTTCGTGGATCAGGAGCATCCACAAAAACTTAAATTACTTCTAACAAAGAGGAGAACATTTATTGTGAGTGTCTGACTATGAATCACAAGTTTGCCAGCTGTAATGACTACTTGAAACCGCCTTGTTTCAAACATCAAAGAGATTTCCACACATTGACAGGTAAACAAACAATCTACAAATTGCTTGTATTTCAGCATTTTGTTGTCATTCAATTTTCTTTTGCATACAAGTTTTATTGTGGATTATTTAGCTTCAATGATTGCTTTTTCACAATCAATGTATCCCAAAGCTCAGATAGGTGCCACTTTCAAGAATTTTTAGATTTAAATCACGCACTAGATGGTGAAGAATTTAGTGACAAAAAACTACATCTGCTAAATATAAAAAAATATATACTTAATAATTAACAATTAGACAACGAGGCCAAGTTGTCTATGAGCGAATAGTCAACGAGGCGAAGCCGAGTTGACTATTTGCTCATAGACAACAAGGCCGAGTTGTCTAATTGTTTTAGTATAAACTTTAACATTAATTTACAACTAGGCTGCAAACACAATACAAAAATACACAAAAAACATTATAAAACTATTAAAGGTAAACAAATATTTTAGTTTTTGTTCGCGTAAAATGTTTTACAAAATTCAGTTTTCATTTTAAAATTTCATTGAGTGTATGTTATTTTGTCCATTCCATATTTTTGTTGCTTTTTTCGGGGGTTTTTTGTACAGAATTGTTCAACAAGTCATCCAAAAAATCATCAGACACTTCGGCAAAAGTGTAAAACGCGAATTTTCCGCCATTTTGAATTTTCTATTAGTAGGCTATCACTAATAGCCTACTAGTAGCCTAGCCAATCAGAAGGCACGATATGTGATAGCCTACTAGTAGGTTTATACTAATATTGTATAGCCCTAAGTTGATATGGAATGTTTAATAAAGAATAGTTCTTGTTGGCATTTCTGAAAAAATGTTAAATTTCATGCAAAACTTCCCGAGATATGACGAGAGAATTACCCGGGATTTATGGGTGCCGTTTCGTGCCGAATTTCACTAATGGCCGCCACACATGTTAAAATGAGCTAAAACTCGAAAATTAAATAAAATTTGAAAATTCTAAAACTGGCTAAAATCTTACTAAAGCAAACACAGTTCATGGACAAAATACAAGACGAAATAATTTTTGGCATTAAAGCGTGTTGGTCGGTTCTTAGAGAGACAGCCTCTTAACAGCTATAATAATCATATTATATGGATGGATCATATCAATGGCACACAATGTTCAAACCTAAACTTGTGATACCTTTACTCAAACCGATATTCTCCCACAAACAAAAATTGTTTTTGTGTGGGTATGTTGTGTTAAAGTGAACAGTGACATGTGGTATATCATTAACTGTGCACACGATTGGAATTGAATTAATATATACTTCACTCATGACCTTCAAAACATTCTCCACTATTCAGTGGTCTTCAATATATGATTGACTCTTTGTTACAGTAATGCATGTTCCTCGAATAGTTTGTGTATGTTACTCAACAGTTAACATTGGCAAGTGTAAACAACAGGTGACCGAATTTTTGCTTCATCTGATTACAAAAAGTTTTGAAAATTCATGGTTTGACAAGTGACGGTTTACTAAATAGCCAGCTGTTGGCTGTATAGACACTTCAAATATTGTTTGCATGAAATTTTTATTTCTTGACTGCATAATTATCGTTACAATCATAATTGGTGGGGGGAGGGGCAGTTGTCTTTGCTGCCCTCTGCTAAGTCTTATTTGCTATTATATTTAATATAATAAGTTATGAAATATTTCAATTGTCCCATGTCATCTTCATTATTCAGTTCCTTTCAAGAAAATACAAAATGTGAATCATGTTTTTTCGCAGATACATGTAGGCTTGCTTACCTATTTTCTGATTTACATTCAAATGAAAGGATATTGTGAATAACACAGTGGTATTGTACCAAGTTGTTAACAAAGAGAAAAAGGCATGGTGATGTTTATTTACTGATATTTATTTGCTTACAAATACATACTTTAACTTTTCACAATTAATAAATACCAAAAAAATATAAATAGGACTTTCTGATAATCATTTTGCATTTTACAGAGGTTGCTTGAAGCAGAATTTGAAGATTCACCAACAGGCCTATGCATACAGGAATTGATGAGCTGTTGTGGCGAATATGAAGCAAGTCGTTTCTCTTATTGGAGAAGCGAGGAACGAAAATGGGTATTTATGAAATATTACTTTCTGTATATTCTCTTATAATATAGTTATGTATATTAACCCTTCAAGTGGCCATGTGCCCAACTTGATTATTTTACTCTGTCTAACACCAGACAATTTTACCTGTCAACTAGGGGGGAGTGCTGCTACTAAATGGGTTAATGTACAATATTTATGTTAATACCATATAGTTATTTTTTTCTTTTCAGGTAGAACTTAATGGCTATGAACAATTGCTTGAGGTTTCATTGAGTATGCTGACCAATAAAGTTCTGCAGCTCCTCGGCCAGAAATACAATGTTCAGTCAAAGTCTGCTGTAAAAAGGAAGTTATTTTAATAGTTAGTATTTTTATTAGTATCATACAGGAAGTCTGTTCCATTTACATTGCACATATGCATACATTTACCTACAATAATCTACCTGCTGAAGAGCACACATAAACCAAGAGCCAAGCCAGATCTAGATAGTGTGGAGTGCAGAGCCCATTACCCCCCCAGAAAGGTGAGGCACCCTGCAAAACAAGTGAAGAACTCCTCCAGAAAAGCATCCACCACATCTTCTACTTCATGCATTTATACAATTACTGATGTGCCATTCCCACCCCCAACATCCACCTTAAAAAGTCTGCACTCCTTGTGCCAAATTATCCAACTGATGCACTTTTTGTTATAAGCGTAAAAAGGGGGTCATTCTATGAATGGCGATCAACATCATTCCCTGGACAAATTTCTCCAGGAGACTGGGATGACATTGTCAAAGAGGACTACCTCTGTTATTCAGAGGAATGATAACTTTAGTAGTGCTCAGTAATATATCATTTGTCAGTATCTGTATGAGGTATCGTGTCTGTAAATTATATAAAATTTTCTACCTCCTTTCCTTTGGAAATGATACTAATTCGGTATCAAATCAAGTATAAAGCTCTTGTGACTCTGTTGGTATATATTTTGAGGACTTCGCTAGTGAATTTACGCATTTATTTGCAATTTTATTACCGTGGACGTGGTTCAGTGTCTGTCGTGTTGCAGTTAGTATAAAAATCAAGTATAAAGCTCTTGTTAATATTAAATCAAGTATAAAGTGCTTGTCATTGACTCTGTTGGTATATATTTTGAGGTATTCGCTGGTGGGCCCTGTGAATTTACACATTTATTTGGAATTTTATTACTGTGGACGTGGTCATTGTCTGTTGTGTTGCATTTACTGATTCATCATTACTGCTGGCTAATTGGTCTTCACTGTTCATTGGATTCATCTAACATTTTCTGCACTGTATAACATACTTTGTTCCTGTTATCGTATCAATGTTGGTGTTTTTGTGATAAAGACAATTTCAATAATACGCGTTTTTATGATTTTGACCTTGGAATTTTTTTAATTATTTGCATCTAGCGTCGTTCGTCATGGCAACAACGTTATAAATACATAATTACAAAGTCATTTATCTTTGGAATTACCTGTTTGAACTTTGACATTGCCCTCAATCGTAATTTGAGATTAATATTATCATTGCTTGATTATCGCTTTCCAACATGTACAATATGTGCGGGGTTTACCCTTGAATATTATTTACATCGTTTTATAACATTTAAAATATGATCTTTCTCAAAACAGTCTATACAGTCCTTTTTGCTTGGTTGATTTTCCGTGTGATTCGTCTCACAAATGAAGATTGTAAGACATTATTTTACTCATCTACAAACATTCTAACCTCTTCTTGTTATTCTCAAGCCTGTCGTATGAGAAAAGATTCAACGTCACTATCTATTCTTCAAACTGTTCGAAATGCATCTGCCTTACTACAAAGATCGTCTTTACCACTAATGTTGGTCCTCTTGGCAAAAAGACATGCAACTAAATCCAGGTCCTTCCAATCCCATTCCTGCTAAGCCGTGTAAAACTAATCCTAATGACCTTAAAGTCCTTTACTTAAATGCCCGAAGTTTGAAGTCTTTCGTCCCTGCTGACAATGGCACTTCAAATAAAGTTTGCAAAATAACCTTACTGCAGGAGTTGGTTCACGGTGGTGAATATGAAGTTGTCTGTATTTGTGAAACTTGGTTAAACAATACAATCCTTGATACAGAACTACTCCCAGGTTTCAATATTTTTCGTCGGGACAGGGAGAATTGGCGATGGAGTTCTAATCGCGATTAAAGAAAACCTACATGCTACTCGGCATTGTGACCTCGAAAGAGATGGCATTGAACTTGCTGTAGTTCAACTCAATAAAGCGAACAATGAACCAGTAATTCTTTATGTGTATTACCGTCCCAACTCCTCTCCTGATGCCTGTCTCAGTCTTCTAAACAACTCCATAGCAAGTAACCCGGAGTCATGTTGCATAATCCTAGTTGGTGACTTTAATATTCCTTCAATCTCCTGGTCAGACAGCCCATCAACTATTAACACTGGTGGATGCTCCAATGGCGAAAACCTTTGTGAACTTATTGGCGATAATTTTCTGTATCAGTTCGTTGATGGCCCAACCCACCGTGCTGGAAATAAGCTTGATTTGCTGTTTTGTAATCGTACCGAAACCCTGTCTGATGTACTAATTCTCTCCTGTGACAAACACAACTTTCTGTCTGATCACTATACTAGTGAATTCCTTATTCGCACAAAGTTCAGAAAAGCAAAACCTGTGCGGCGAACAGTTTATGATTGCAACCGAGCTAACTTTCCCGAACTTTGTAAAGCCTTGTCTCAAACAGATCTTCGTGTATCTCTTTCGGACAACATTGATGATTGTTGGAAACATTGGAAGGACTTATTTTTATCAGTTGTGTCAAGTTATGTTCCGACCAAAGTTGTTAAGGATACCAACTCTCCTCCCTGGTTCGACGGAGAAGTTCGCCATCTAATCCGAAAAAAGTACACCGCCTTACGTAAATATCGCTTGAAGAAAACGCCTGAACGTAAAGTTAAACTCCGGACATTGTGTCAGCAAGGCAAGAATGTTATTTGAAAGAAACATAAAAAGTATATAGACAAAATTGAAATTTCATTTAAAGAAAATCCGAAATTGTTTTGGAATTAATCGAAGAAAGGTGACATGACCTACAAGGACAGATTGCTGGCTCTGAATCTTTTACCACTGGCATTTGACAGGGAAATTACGGATCTGACATTTATGTTTAAAACTTTGCATGGTTTTTATCATTTGGATGCTTTCAATTTTGTGTCATTTGTCAATCATAGTCGTACCCGTAATTGTAATAATCCTTCTCTAGTACTTAAAGTTCTGTCATGTAAAAGTAGCACTTTCAGACATCGTTCTTTTAACCGTTTTGTTCCACTCTGGAATCATACTTGCAAAATTGCTTCTAGATCTTCGCAGTTTGGCAACGTTTAAATCCTTCTTATCAAGAACATACTTCAATTTATTAAGTAGTAGTTTTGATGTTGACATGTGCTGTACGTGGTCTTTGTATCGTAGCTGTTCACGCCATAGAACTAGTTAATTCTGATGTAAACATATACCAGCTCCTCGTGTCAGGTTTTGCCTTATCCTGATTCAGCTTTCAAATTCTTAACATGATTATACAAATCTGTATTATGTATGATAACTTAAATGTGGTGCAATATCTTCCTAATTTGATATTAATCAGCTGGTATATGTTTACCTATTTATAATTTTGTTGTAAATAATGATATTAGATGTAAACAAAATTCAAGAGGGAGAGTGCCTCGCATGGGTCTTGAGTCCTGTTCGCACTCTTGCCGTTTGAACATTGTTCAACAAAGCTGTTAAAACATATGTTCAACCCTGTTTGCAGGCTTTCTTAATTTTAATGTATCATTGATACTTCCACCAGTACCAGTACATAAAAATATCTCAATCAATTGCAATAGCGATCCCCCCTCGTCCAATGGCATTTGTTAGGCATTCAAACATTTGTTGTAAATGTTCCCTCCATAGGATCAACACCAAAATCCCCACCCTTAGGACAAAATGTAAGCTTTCTAGCTAGTGCAAATGTTGCCTTGAGATAATTCCAATCCTGGAGTCGACTAACAAATGCCTTAACCTGGAGACACATGTGGTCGCTGAGATGCTGGAAACATGACGAGGGCGAGGGGAAGGTCATACATGGAATTGATTTATATTTCAGTACCGTATTTTATATCTTCAACTTCAGAGACTTATTTAGGACCCATGTCCATATTCATGCTCATGCCACAGATAACATTTAATTGATGTTACGAGTGGGTGGGTTTTTATGTGAACTTATTGACATTATCTTGTGGCAATTTGACAATTAATGTCCAAAATAACCATAACAGTACAGCTTTTTGTATTATAAATACAAAAGTCAAAATACAACTGAATATGGATTGACATTACCTGGAGTGGGTGGGTGGGTAGTGCTGTACCTAGCCCGACGATTTAAGTCCCACTATGCAAATATTTTCATGTTCATTGACTGTGAAAACAATCAATTTCTAAAGAGGTGAATAATGATAATTTTGAATTTGCATACCAGGACTAAATTGCCGGGTGGGTGAAGTAATAACGGTGGGTGGGTGAAGTAATAATGGCCCCTTACTATATGATGCAAAATTGTAAACCTCCAATAATTGTCATGTATTTTGAATAAGAAATTATTTCTTGTATGCAAGACTGTGACAACGAGGCCTCGAAATAAATCTGGATGTTATACTGGTCATTATGACCGTAGATCACCAAATTTATCGGTCACAATGGAATTTATGCTGGTCATTGTCACTCCTTAGCTTCTTTTTTCCCCTCATCTTTTGTGTGACTCGTAATTTTAGAAACAATTGTGTATTTTAATTGTATCTGTATACAAAGTTGAAATACAGTATGGCGTTTATCAAAGCTGTAGTAGTAATCATTAGTAATAACATTAACATTGTTTACTAGCAAATTAATATATTAAGTCCCAAATGACAACTGTAGTTTGAGTTGTGAGCATGCTTTAAGGCTGCATTCCAGTTACGTGTTTCGCATACGCACATAAAAGATGAAATCGCTTTACATCCTACTTATGAAATAACTAAATTTATAAAAGGACAGCATTCAGTTTTGTGTATGATTTAATGTGTATTTCGTAAGGTCATTTGCACTTTTAAAAGATTTAAACTTTTCCGTTGCACATGTGAAAAATGCGTAACTAGAAAACAGCCCTGAGGCACAATACTTGCGGTCAGTATTATATCTGTACGACAAAATGTGTCAATTCCGCCGCCCATATTAGCCTGCACCGTACATACACTTCCTTGGAAAATTGGAAATCAATTCAAAATGAAAATTGCGCTGTTTTTGAATGTACTTTTTTATTAAAAAAATTACTGGTCACGCATGACCGCCAGGCGAAATTTTACTGGTCAGTAAACAGCACTTATTTCAAAGCCTGGTGACAACACAAGGCCTATGTCATTATCTGCATGGGTCATTACCCCCATATTTCAATAACTGTACGTTTTGCAACAAACCTTATGCATAATGACGTCATAAGGCTTGATGCCGTAACCATCGAAGTAAGCTATAAAAGTGTATAAAAACAGCTTTGGAATATAGTTTAAACATTCAACACTTCCATTTAGTTTAGCGATATTACAAATGAATCAGACATGAATACTTTTTATAAATTTTTCCTCTGCTTAATCATATGGAACTTGCTATTTCTGATCTGCTTTATCACAGTCTGACATGATGTACACTGCCATTTTAAGCAAAATTTTTAAAACATATTTGACAAAACACATCTGAAAATATTTATTGCTTTTGATCGGCCTGCAGACACAGGCATTTTGGGCTCATGTTTCCCCCATCTGAGTTGTTAGTTTCCAATCAAAATGACAATGGCAATGATTGAATCGTCCATTTTGTGCGATTTTTCTCTTTACTCGCATTTTCGATTTGTTTTCCAACAGACTTGTTGAAACTTGTTGTGACAGGACAAAAATCGTTTGTTGTGGACAGGTTTGTTGCAGGTCTGATAACAAGCTTGCTGCAGATTTGACAATAACAATTTGCAACAGGTCTGTTGTAACAAGTTGTAACAACTTGTTGATTTCATCAGACTTGCTGCAAGTTGTTATATCAAATCGGTTATCTCTTGTTAGTAACAGGTTTGTAGTAACAGTTGTTTCAACAAGTCGCTCTGTTGGCTCTGTTGTCAACAGCTTGCGACAAACCTGTTCTCACAAGCCTGTTATTGCCTGATGAAACCAACAGACCTGTCACGACTTGTTGACAACTTGCCGCAAGCTGGTAAAATCAACAACTTGCGACAGGCCTGTGAGATTTCTGGCTGTGTAGGAGTTAATTGTCTCATATAAACTAGTTATTAGTATTTATTTAGTAAACTATATTTACATTTCTTTTTTTTTTTGAAAGATGCCTTGCATGGATAGTGCAAATTATTTCCGTTCTGTTCACACCTCTTCCATTTCAGTAATATCTGTTGTGTGCATGCATATTATTAGCACTTTTTTGTAAATAAGTATGTTCATATTTACCCAATATAAAGTATTTAAATAAATAGCAAGAGTCTGTTTTTGAGGACGAATCAGGCAATTCTATACAATGCTGAGAAACGTTTTGGTGGCAAGTTGCCACAAGCAATATTACTGCTCATATATGTGCACCTTCTGAGAGAAAGCTAAACAATGCCATTCAGTTTAATAAAGTAATAACAGAAACTCAGAAATCTATAGCTGAAAATGTTTGCACAACACGTTGTGTAGATATATTTCCCACAAAACTGTGAGCTGCTGGAAGTTCACATCCATGAAGCATCGACTTTAATGTGTCAGCTGATAAAACTCAAAGTGCATCCCCAATACTAGTAAATAATTAAGAACTGTTCCTTTGTCCAATATATTATTTAATTCCTGTCCTTCACGAGTTATGCGTAACTATTGAGTTATTGAATATTTTACGCCATCAATGAATGAGCACATTATAATCATGAATGGATTGATTCATGCACCTAGTTTGTTGACAATCATTATGTATCATGGTTTCACTTTTAATTCTCAAAAAAGATTTTAAACTCTGCACTGACATTATTAGATTAAAACATTTACTGTATTTCAATCGTCATATGTTCTAAGTCAGGCAAACAAAGAACTCATTGAAGTTGTAAGGAGAGGCAAACCATCAGTCCTGAGGTAGCCTGCATAGCAGGCGTTCAGTAAAGGGCGTCGTTTGAGGAAACGCCTGCCCAAATGGCTATGACAAATTAGTTTTCGCAGACCTCTCAACTCTCACGCATTCGGCGTGAGTCTCACGCAATTCGCTTCACTCTCACGCTCTCACGACACGTTTAGTAAATCTCACGCATATAGCAGTTTCATAGTATTTTTTCAATAATATAATATTGTATTCTTAAATGCACATTATTAATCATTATACGTATCGCGAATCGAACATATAATCCCGTGTTATTGTCCCTGCATTACTACATATATGGCCCGACATTTTGCCCCTAACCCTAACCCTATGGCTATGTAAATACGGCGGACAAAAGGCAGAATCAGTCGGAGCAGAATTCTATATGTAAATTATCAAAGGCAAATTAAAGCTCATTACTGTATGTTGCAGAAATACAGTTATTGTAACTACAGTGCCTTGTCTTAAAGGACGTTATGAAGCAATGTATTTCTGATTAAAAAACACCGTGGCCAACTCTCATAATGTACGAAATGCCATTTCAGACCCCAGGACTTTTACAAAGGTGTCATCCACATCCCCAATCTCACTCTTAACTTCTCTGCAAAGTTGAGAGGTCTGTTTTCGCCCATTAAGGATGATTGACGTTTTGTAATTAGCACCGTCACCCATTATCCAATCATAGTCGAGATTTATATTTAGCATCATGCATGCCGTTTGCTAGGCAACAACTAGGGAGATTTGCAGAGTTTATGTACTATTTAAAACATGAGCAGCAGTGTTTTATCCGAAATAAAGATGGTCTGATAAAACACGCACTGCGA